TTCTCCACAGTGCTGACATGTCCTCTCATCTTCCGGAACCTGTAAGCCTATTTCCCATGCACATGGGTATCCAAGCTTGATGCGATGTAAGTGTACTTCTGTTGGTCTACTGCTCCCTTTCATCAAACTAAGTGGTTCGTAGTTGGTTGAATTCTTGTACCAACCCACAGATCCTGATGTTGCAACTGCTGTGTTGTGGTCACTGTACATCTTTTACATTGCTCTATTTCTAATTAATTTCTTAATCTGTGATAGACTCTGTGATATGTTAATGTCTACATTTCTTCTCTTAGTTGCAAGTTTTGTAGCTTCGTCTGCGATGTCATTTCCTAATATTCCCACATGACTTGGCACCAATTGATAAGTACCCGACGGCCTTGACGTTTGACTGGTGGTGATAGAGCTTGATGAAGATGGCGATGGTGGTGGGTGCTGGTGGTGAAGGTGGGTGAGGAACTCATTAGGCAAACTAGAAACTCAAGGGCGGCTAGTTTCCTGTTACAGCGCCTCAGTGTCGCGATCCAGAGAGGAAATGATTGCTGTATCTTGGGCACGCACCCCATCTCCGAAGAGCTGGATGATGTCTTCGATCAGTGTTATGTGTGTGTGTTTTCTGCAAACTATATATATTTATATATTTATGTACGTCGCTTACTACAAAAATTTGCGCTGTAATCCCCACAGAGAATAATGAGAATCATCTCCGTGGCGTGGGTCCTGCTGGCGCCCTTGGCCGTGTCCTTGGCGGTGTCCTTGGCGGTGCCCCTGGCCGTGTCCCCGGCGGTGCCCCTGGCCGTGTCCCTGATTGCAGGAGGCCAATCAAAAGCCAACAATGCCGCGAAGGTCATGCCAGCAGCTGCCTTCCCCTTTCAGCATAGGCTTCCTTCCAAGCCTAAATTAACAGACAGGACGAATTCTAACCAGCTAGCTGCCCATAGGCTGCGGGAAGTCTTGCTAGTCTCGTCATGGGGAAAAGTCTGATTCAGTCCGGTAGTAAGTCTCGTTTAATCACATTATTATAGAAAGTAGAATTTGGTACTATTGAATGTCGATAAACTGGAAAAAGTTTTGTATATATGTTGCTATTAAAACCTAACCTATCCTAATCATCCTAGGTCTAATACTCGCTATCTGAAGCCTAATATAGTAAATATATGTGCTATACTAGGCCTTGAAATATTTAAGTTCTCTTTTTAGCTAATTTCTCTAGCTCTATCTCCCACGGGATATCTTACCATATAATAGATTTAGCATGAGAAATCTTGATACAGTAGTTTCTTATTCATTCTTGTTTATGGACTAGAAACAAATTCGTTTTGCAGACGTGGTGTCCAGAAAGGAAGAGTTCACAACGCTACTGGAGAGGCTTGCTACTCTCAACCAAGCCCTTGAATCTCTTCAGCATTCAGTCGTTCTGCTAAGTACCCAATTACAGAATATTACACGTGAGTGCATTCTGCTGTCCTTTCATGTTTTATACCAGAAATGTATTATTTGGCAGAATTTGTCGGTACTGGATGTACATTCACCGCTCGCTAATGTGGGTCATTTCCATTCATACTTCTGGGGATCCAAGTTACTTAGTGCTTGCAGGCGATGAGCCACAATAACGTGGCTAAAGTGTGATGACTAGACCACACACTAGAAGGTGAAGGGACGACGACGTTTCGGTCCGTCCTGGACCATTCTCAAGCCGATTGTGTGGCCTCCACACAATCGACTTGAAAATGGTCCAGGACGGACCGAAACGTCGTCGTCCCTTCACCTTCTAGTGTGTGGTCTGGTCATCATACTTAGTGCTTCAGTATAGATTGATAACAATAACAGTGTTATAGCATATTAGGGTCCAGGTAGTACAGTTGGAAGTTCGTTCTTGACATATAATCGAGAATTCCAGGTTTGAATCTCAGAAATGGTGGGGACAGAAATGGTTGGGCACATTTCCTTTCACCTAATGCACCTATTCACCTAGCAGTAAGTAGGTACTCAGGAGTTAGTCAGCTTGTTGTGGGGTTCCATCCTGGGTGGGGACAGTAATTCGACCTGGGAGGTGGGGGGGGACCATGATATAAGCCTAACAGGTATAAATACACTGGCTGCCTGTACCACGAGACAATGAATTATTATTAATTATTCAGGAACTGTGTTAACGCCTTCAGAAACACCACTAACTAATCAACTAATAATAATTGAAGAGCCACCAACAACGGTAAACCCATGCGACCTTGAGACACATTTGGAGTGTGATAATGGAAGCTGCCTCCCAAAAAGTCTGTTCTGTGATGGCTCGCTTGACTGTCAGGACGGCAGTGATGAACCCAGTGACTGTAGCAAAGATAAGGTAAGAATTATAAGAATATTTCAGCACATTGAGTATAATATTTTTAAGAGGTGTGTTCTGTGGGCTATCAGTACGGGTCTTAATATGTTTTGTTATAGCCAGCAGCAGTGGTCTGTTTGGTTTCGCTGCCTTTGTGAGTGCTTCCTCGGAGGTGGCGGATATGATCAAAAAAATCACTTGACACTTTTATCAGAGTGCCACTGCTCCCTACATTAGAACTCCGTGACTGGTGGCACCTGGTAGTTTGGCACTGTAGCCTCAGAAAGCCACCGAAATTTCTCCTTAAATTGGCGTTTCAATACATTCAACGTTACTTTTTGTTTCAGCTTACATGTCGAGAGGATGAGTTTTTGTGTTCATCGGGAGATGAATGCACATACTTTATATGGAAGTGTGATGGTCAAGCTAATTGTGCGGATGGCAGTGACGAACATGGTTGTAACCCAGTATGTATCTAGGCCACGATTGTATTTTTTATATAACATTAATGACAATCTATTGAATAGTTAAGTAGAGGTAGTTGAAGCTGACCACTAAGGTTAGAGGTAAACAGATCTTGACCCGGCCTAGGTTAATTCAATTTTTTTTTTCTCAGACGGGCGTGTTTATTGGGCAGCATTTCTCATCTTGCTAGCCAACAGGCTGCCATAGCCTCCTTGTATAATTGCCGTTCCCTCCCCCCAAAAATAGAAAGGAAAACCCACTGGGTTACACACATAGATCACAATAGCGTGATGCATCAAATGAACAAATCCTCAAGGACCGTGACGAGGGTTCGAACCTACGTCCAAGAGGATCCCAGACGCTGCCTTAATCGATTAAGGCAGCGTCTGGGATCCTCTCGGACGTATGTAGGTTCGAACCTTCGTCACGGCCCTTGTGGATTTACCCACTGGGTTGCTTGTTCAGTCATTTACGGTAGTAGGCTTTTTCTAGGCTAGGCTAGGCTAGGCTAGGCTGTAGGCTAGGTTTTCCTTCACTGTCTGGAGTCAACAGTCCATCAAATTATTGTATTAACATTTGACTAATTTTCTCAAGAGTGTTAACTTAATGGAACAAACGGCGCAAATAGTTTTAAAACAGCATCAGTGACAAGACAATTTTTCTTTCTGAAACAATGTAGGGTGAGCGGTACTGATATATATTTCTGATGCTTCTTAAATGGGTGCAGGTAGTGTAATTAGTGGCGTTTATATAAAAAAATACAAGTATCTAGTAAGCATTTACTGTAATCATATTTTCTGTGTTTTCTATAAAAAATATTATTAGCAGTATCATAAGTATTATAATAATAAATATTATAATAATAATTAGTATGAGAAAATCCAGAGAAGCCGTGATGAGGATTCAAACCTATGCGCTCTTGGGGATGTTCTCGTTGATATATCACGATAATGTGATTTCTCTGTATAGTAATTAGTATAATAATAATTATTATTATTAGCTCATTTATCCAAACAATATAGGAAGGGCCCTTCACTGGATAAGGCAACCACTGGATAAGCAGGAATTCTTATCGGGGGAAGCCCAAAAATTATATTATTTGCATTTCCACATCAGTATAATTATATAGCACTCAGAAGAGGTTATAATATATACAAGAGATATATACAAGAGTTGTTACATTCTTGTACAGCCACTAGTACGCGTAGCGTTTCGGGCAGGTCCCTGGAATACGATTCCCTGCCGCGAAGAATCGTTTTTTTTTTCATCCAAGTACACATTTTACTGTTGCGTTAAACAGAGGCTACAGTTAAGGAACTGCGCCCAATAAATCCTCCACGGCCAGGATACGAACCCATGACATAGCGCTCGCGGAACGCCAGGCGAGTGTCTTACCACTACACCACGGAGACTGTAAGGCCTAGGCGCTGGGAGAGAATGGCGGGAAGGAATCATTCTCAACTCACGTCGTCAGGAATTGTATGTCGACCTGCGTAACCGAGGCTGTGGCCGTGCTGACCAGTCCAAGTGGTTGGTCCAGTGGCCGTGCTGACCAGTCCAAGTGGTTGGTTCAGTGGCCGTGCTGACCAGTCCAAGTGGTTGGTCCAGTGGCCGTGCTGACCAGTCCAAGTGGTTGGTCCAGTGGTCTGACAGTGGCCGTGCTGACCAGTCCAAGTGAATGGTCCAGTGGTGCCAGTGGCTGTGCTGACCAGTCCAAGTGGTTGGTCCAGTGGCCGTGCTGACCAGTCCAAGTGAGTGGTCCAGTGGCCGTGCTGACCAGTCCAAGTGGTTGGTCCAGTGGCCGTGCTGACCAGTCCAAGTGGTTGGTCCAGTGGCCGTGCTGACCAGTCCAAGTCAGTGGTCCAGTGGCCGTGCTGACCAGTCCAAGTGGTTGGTCCAGTGGCCGTGCTGACCAGTCCAAGTGAGTGGTCCAGTGGCCGTGCTGACCAGTCCAAGTGGTTGGTCCAGTGGCCGTGCTGACCAGTCCAAGTGGTTGGTCCAGTGGCCGTGCTGACCAGTCCAAGTGAGTGGTCCAGTGGCCGTGCTGACCAGTCCAAGTCAGTGGTCCAGTGGCCGTGCTGACCAGTCCAAGTGGTTGGTCCAGTGGCCGTGCTGACCAGTCCAAGTGAGTGGTCCAGTGGCCGTGCTGACCAGTCCAAGTGGTTGGTCCAGTGGCCGTGCTGACCAGTCCAAGTGGTTGGTCCAGTGGCCGTGCTGACCAGTCCAAGTGAGTGGTCCAGTCCAACTGTGCCAGTGGCCGTGCTGACCAGTCCAAGTGAGTGGTCCAGTGGCCGTGCTGACCAGTCCAAGTGGTGGTCCGTGGCCGTGCTGACCAGTCCAAGTGGTTGGTCCAGTGGCCGTGCTGACCAGTCCAAGTGGTGGTCCAGTGGCCGTGCTGACCAGTCCAAGTGAGTGGTCCAGTGGCCGTGCTGACCAGTCCAAGTGGCTGGTCCAGTGGCCGTGCTGACCAGTCCAAGTGGTGGTCCAGTGGCCGTGCTGACCAGTCCAAGTGGTGGTCCAGTGGCTGTGCTGACCAGTCCAAGTGGTTGGTCCAGTGGCCGTGCTGACCAGTCCAAGTGAGTGGTCCAGTGGCCGTGCTGACCAGTCCAAGTGGTTGGTCCAGTGGCCGTGCTGACCAGTCCAAGTGGTTGGTCCAGTGGCCGTGCTGACCAGTCCAAGTGGCTGGTCCAGTGGCCGTGCTGACCAGTCCAAGTGAGTGGTCCAGTGGCCGTGCTGACCAGTCCAAGTGGCTGGTCCAGTGGCCGTGCTGACCAGTCCAAGTGGCTGGTCCAGTGGCCGTGCTGACCAGTCCAAGTGGTGGTCCAGTGGCCGTGCTGACCAGTCCAAGTGGTTGGTCCAGTGGCCGTGCTGACCAGTCCAAGTGGTTGGTCCAGTGGCCGTGCTGACCAGTCCAAGTGGGTCCAGTGGTCCAGTGGCTGTGCTGACCAGTCCAAGTGGTTGGTCCAGTGGCCGTGTGACCAGTCCAAGTGGTTGGTCCAGTGGCCGTGCTGACCAGTCCAAGTGAGTGGTCCACCAGTCCAAGTGGTTGGTCCAGTGGCCGTGCTGACCAGTCCAAGTGAGTGGTCCAGTGGCCGTGCTGACCAGTCCAAGTGGCTGGTCCAGTGGCCGTGCTGACCAGTCCAAGTGAGTGGTCCAGTGGCCGTGCTGACCAGTCCAAGTGGCTGGTCCTGTGGCCGTGCTGACCAGTCCAAGTGGTTGGTCCTGTGGCCGTGCTGACCAGTCCAAGTGGCTGTGGCCGTGCTGACAGTGGCCGTGCTGACCAGTCCAAGTGGAGGTCCAGTGGCCGTGCTGACAGTCCAAGTGGCTGGTCCAGTGGCCGTGCTGACCAGTCCAAGTGAGTGGTCCAGTGGCCGTGCTGACCAGTCCAAGTGAGTGGTCCAGTGGCCGTGCTGACCAGTCCAAGTGGCTGGTCCAGTGGCCGTGCTGACCAGTCCAAGTGGCTGGTCCAGTGGCCGTGCTGACCAGTCCAAGTGGCTGGTCCAGTGGCCGTGCTGACCAGTCCAAGTGGTTGGTCCAGTGGCCGTGCTGACCAGTCCAAGTGGTTGGTCCAGTCCCTCTAGTTAGTTCTCAAATATGTCACTAAAACATTAGAAAACGGAATTTGCCTGAATTTACCTGGTGGCCATTAATACTGGTAGGACCATGTCTTTCATGTGTTACCTTGTCATATTGTCACATATTGGATACTTCGGACTCCTGATACAATCTCAACCCACTGAAGATGAGGACCTTTACAAGGTCATCTTACCCCCCTAACTGGGCGAACAGCAGGTTAGGGATTGAGGATCTAATGACCAATGAAGTGAATTGCCCACCAATAATTTAAAAAGAAACCTCAAATCACTTAATCTCCACACAACATTGGTTATCCATTTTTTTTATTGTTTAAAACTTCATTTCTAAACAGTTTCAATGCCTAAACCAATATTCTAGGTCTATGAATAGCTTTAAAAACAGAAAATAAGCATATATTATACTTCAATGCCTAACAATAATTGGGTGAAGAGTAGATCAGTTAGGTAGTGAAAATGGGACCTCTTTCCTCAGAACACGAAAGTGTTAAAGATAAATCTGTGAAAATGTTGCTAGATGTTAATAAATGCCATCATTACGTCTAATGTCTATTTACGTATAATAAACTAAATATTTACAAAATTGATTTCCCTCAGGATGATTGTGAAGCCTATCAATTCAAGTGTGCAATAAATAACAAATGTATACCTTCCACTTGGGTGTGTGATGGAGTCGACGACTGTCAAGATTCAAGTGATGAAAAAAATTGTACCCAGGTAGGAGTTCCAATGGTAATTTCCTTTATATAAAAATACATTTGATGCATGATGCTGTGGAGTATTCACACGTAAATGATATGGCTCATGATATAAAGCCACTAATATGCAGTGTTTCCTGCATAATGTAACATGATAAGCTGACTTCTAGAGGTTCCCATCTGGTAGGTTATTCTTGACTTTATAAGTTATGTTGTCATGCTTTTGGGCGATGTTGACTGTTGCTGATTTAATGAAATAATGCATTCAAATTGTTACCACAATTCACTGTAGTTTGGTCTTTAATATTAATTGTCAAAGGGATCTATTATAGTGTAACATACAAGATTTTGAGAGATATTATTCAAAGAGTATGGTATTTTTTTTATTTATTTAATAGTTCGGTTAAAGCAGCCGGATGTTAGAAATGGTATGATGTTGTTGAGATAGGTAGGTTGAGACAAGGATGCTTGTTACGTGTGCTTACGAAGTCAGGTAGAATGTTGTGCTGAAGGAGGCCGGAAGCTGAGAGCTTGTGTGAGTGAGGCCTGGAGAGAGAACTCGGATGAAGCCAAGAGCACAGAGCTCGAGTGCGGCTGAGAGTTGGAAGGCGAGAGAGAGGATGGATGAGGCTAGGAGTGACTCTCTCTTCTATAATGAGGCTTCTAGTGTCTAGTGTGGGAGTTGATACTAGACTGGTGATGCTGTGTCTACATCTGCATCCACCTGACCTTGTGATGGACCTAGGTTGCTCCTCACTTGCCAGGCTGGTCATCATTTGGGCTGATGGAAAGCTTGCTGGTTACTTTTGGCGGTCTTAAGCGCCGTGTACACGTGGGCTTGGTTACAGATAATAATAATAATAATTTATTCACAAGAAGGTACAATGGGTTGGTGAGATTACATAAGATTAGTATTTTTACATTCTTGCAACGCCACTAACACGCATAGCGTTTCGGACAAGTCCTTAATCTAACATTTCAGGTAAGATGAAAAGGTACATTGTAGCAAGGTGGCATTGTGGTTATTTGTATCAACAAATAACTACAATGTAAATTGACAGAAGTGATTACACTGGTAATGATATATGTCTTAAATACTAATATTGGGGATGTGAGCAGTACAAAATATAGTGTGAGTTTGAAACACAAGGTAGGAAACTATAAGGATGAAATTAGGTAATTTTTTATTTTACTTTTGAATAGGGGCATGGGTTGGATTTTTTTTTTAATTAAGCAGGGAGTGAGTTCCAAAGATTGGGTCCTTTTATTTGCATGGAGTGTATGCACGGATTTAGTTTGACTCTGGACATCTCAAAGAGATATTTATTTCTGGTGTAATTTCTATGTAATTTCATGGGTTCTATTACACCTATTACGGAAAAGTTTAAGATCAAGATAAGCTTTTAGGAACACGGTTTTCTACATGTAAATAACACATGAAACTGTGTGGAGTGAGTGTATGTTTAGCATTTTAAGGGACTTAAACAGAGGCGCTGTGTGTTGTCTGAAAACAGAGTTTGATATTGTTCTGATGGAAGATTTTTATTGGGCGATGATGGGCTTGAGGTAGTTTGCAGTGGTAAAACCCCATGCACAGATGCCATATGTACGATAGGGATAAATTAGAGCGTAGTATAATGAGAGGAGAGAAGAGTTTGGAACATAATATCTGATTTTAGAAAGTATACCAAAAGTTTTGGAAACTTTTTGATTATGTGTTGAATATGGGTGCTGAAAGTTGAGTCTCTTGTCTAGGTATAGGCCAAGGAACTTTCCATCATTGTTATTGCTGTTGTTAACATTGTCTATCAGAAGCTGAATTTAATTTGATGATTTTCTTCCAAATAAAATGTAGTAGGTCTTTTCTATGTTTAGTGTGAGTTTATTGGTTGACATCCATGAGTGGACCTTTTTTTAATTCGTTATTTACAACATTATTCAGCGTGTGTGGGTTGGGGTCAGAGTAGATGAAGGTAGTATCATCAGCAAATAGTATAGGTTTAAGAATGTTAGAGACATTAGGCAAATCATTGATGTATATAAGAAATAGGAGAGGTCATAGGATGCTGCTCTGTGGCACTCCTACGGTTAATGGTAGAGTGGGAGTGGTTATATCATTGATAACTACAAATTAGTGTCTGTCACTAAGATAGGATCGAATATAGTTCAGGGCAAGGCCTCTGATTCCATAATGGTGAAGTTTAAGCAAGAGGTAGTCATGGTTTACAGTATCAAAGGCCTTTCTTAAGGCAATGAAAAGCCCAATTGGGAACTTATTTTTGTCAAAGGCTGTGTAGATTATATCAAGCAGACTAATAATGTATCATGTGTATTCTTTTGGGAGCGGAAGCCAAACTGACAGTGACTTAACATGTTGAATTTTATGAATTAGGAGTAGAGCGGTTTGTAAATAATTAAAAAAAGTATTGATAATATAGGTAGATTTGATATCAGTCTGTAATTGTTTATGTTTACCGTTTCGCCTTCTTTTTTAAGGATATCAGGGAACGTATGACTCTAGAGATTTGTTGAATAGCAGAGCTATGGGTGGTGCAAGGGCTTGGGACGCACTCTTGTATACCATGAATGGTTTTTCACTAATGTTCCCGGCTTTGATTTTTATTGAGTAAATGATGGACATAACATCTATTAGGCTGATTTGAGAATGGAGAAGAGAGTTAGGATAGTTGCCTGTAAGATATGTAGTGACATGTCTGGGTCTGTGGGATTTTTTCTCGCTAGGTCAGCACCAACTGATGAAAAGAAGCTATTAAATTCAGTTGTCGTTTCTAAATCTGTTGCAGGTGTGTAACCATCCTTGGAGAGTTTTATCTGCTTACTATGTGATTGCTGTTTAAATCCTGGGATGCTAGAGATGAATTTTCATGTGCTTTTCATGTTTCCTTTTGCTTTTTTGAATCTACTCTCATAATAGGAAAATTTCGCTCTTCTTATTATACTGGTAAGCATTGATGAATATCTCTTAACTACTTCTTTTGTAATTAGGCCGATCCTAAGTGATTTTTCATATTCATGTTTCTTGTTGATTGCTTTGAGTATGCCACTAGTGAGCCAGGGGTTGTTTAATCTTTTGGCAGTTACTTGTTTGGTGGGGAGAGGACAATGAGTGTTGTAGAGGCTTATAGTTTAGGAAAGGAAGATGTTGGCTAGTGAATTTATATCCTGTGTATTACTGAATTCGGATTCCTACCTTACCTTGAGGTTACCTTGAGGTGCTTACGGGGCTTAGCGTCCCCGCGGCCCGGTCGTCGACCAGGCCTCCTGGTTGCTGGACTGATCAACCAGGCTGTTAGACGCGGCTGCTCGCAGCCTGACGTATGAGTCACAGCCTGGTTGATCAGGTATCCTTTGGAGGTGCTTATCCAGTTCTCTCTTGAACACTGTGAGGGGTCGGCCAGTTATGTCCCTTATGTGTAGTGGAAGCGTGTTGAACAGTCTCGGGCCTCTGATGTTGATAGAGTTCTCTCTCAGAGTACCTGTTGCACCTCTGCTCTTCCTAGTTTATATTGTGAAGTGCATTTGTGAGATTGCCTATTGGTGCTTCGTTGTGTAGCCTGAATGTAAGTTTCTTGGTATCTGGTGATGTTATGGTGGCATTATAGTAAGCCTGCTTGCCTCATAGTAGGTCTGTTTTATATGAGGTTTGCTTCTTTGTTTCATAGTAGATCTGCTCTGTACTTGCTTTATAGGATTCCGATATAGCAGTATCTAATGTATGATCCAGCAACTGCTTGCCCTGCAATACTATTGAATCTGGTTCCTTGCAGCGTACTTGTCTGGAAACAGAGTTCTCGTGTGCTTCTGGAGACAAATGCATAGCTGCATCCTGGCGGTGTGATGGAGATGATGACTGTGAAGACTCCAGTGATGAAGATGATTGCATTAATGTAGGTTTATATATTTTCTAGGTTATTTTTGTCAAATGGAATAGAACTAAAACATCTTTAGAAACCTGTGACTTGGCACTTCGTGCTGGTGATTGAATATAGCTTAAGTGAATACAAGAATTACCTGAGGGCCACTAACACTAGATTCAGATTCAGATTCATATGTTTATTCAGGTAAGGTATATACATACAAGTGATGTTACATTAATGGATTGATATATAGATAGATCTAGTACATACAATGCCTAAAGCCACTATTACGCAATGCGTTTCGGGCAAGAAAAACATTAATATCTAGAACTTAATACTAATTGAGCATAAAGAATAAAAAGTGTTGAGAACAAATACAAATAAAGATAAAAAAAGGGGGAACATGACTGAAAAAGCAGCACAAATACAATAGGTTGACAAACAGTGTTGATTAAAAAAAAAAGAAAATAACAGACATGGGTTGACAATAGAGGAGTGAGGTAGATTACAGGGAATTTATTAGGTAGTGTTTAGTTTTTATCTTAAACTGGTTGAGAGAGGTACAGTCTTTAACATGGTTGGGAAGGTCATTCCACATTCTGGGCCCCTTGATTTGCAGAGCATTTCTAGTTTGATTAAGACGTACTCTAGGAATATCAAAACTGTATTTATTTCTGGTGTGGTGCTCATGGGTTCTGTTACAACCTTCTATGAAGCTTTTAAGATCAGGATTGGCATTATAGTTTAGCGTTTTATATATGTATAATACACATGAGAGAATGTGCAGTGACTTAATATCTAACATATTCAGAGATTTGAGTAGGGGTACCGAGTGATGTCTGGGGCCAGAGTTGGATATTGTTCTAATAGCGGCTTTGTGTTGGGTAATTAGAGGACGTAAGTGATTTTGGGTAGTAGAACCCCAAGCACAAATACCATAGTTGAGATAAGGATAGATAAGGGAGTAATAGAGAGTCACCAGGGCAGGGCGTGGTACATAATATCTGATCTTAGAAAGAATGCCCACAGTTTTTGAAACTTTTTTTTGATATGTTTAGAATGTGTCCCTGGAAATTCAGCTTGTGGTCAATGAGAATGCCAAGGAATTTGCCATCTAATTTGTTACAAATTTGGGTATTGTTTATTTTGAGATTTATAAGACTAGAGGATTTATTGCCAAACAGAATATAGAAAGTTTTGTCAATGTTAAGGGTGAGTTTGTTGGCAGTTAGCCAAAGATGGACTTTATTTAGCTCAGTATTTACTGTGGCATTTAGAGCAAGGGGGTCAGGACTGGAGTAAATGAAGGTTGTGTCGTCAGCAAATAGAATTGGTTTGAGGTGTTGGGAGGCATTTGGAAGGTCATTAATGTAGATGAGAAAGAGGAGAGGGCCAAGTATGCTGCCCTGAGGAACACCAATGTTGATGGGTAGGGTGGGAGAAATTGTATTATTCACAGAAACATATTGGAGCCTGTCAGTAAGGTAGGACTCGAGGTATTGTAGGGAGTGTCCTCTGACTCCATAATGATGTAATTTAAGAAGAAGGTTATGGTGGTTGACAGTATCAAAAGCTTTACGCAGGTCCACAAATAACCCAACAGGGAACTCCGTTTATTTACGTATGAATCGAGTTAAGCATACGCATAAGTGCATCGTTAGTGCTTTTTTTGGGTCTGAAGCCATATTGGCAAGGGCTAAGTATATTGAGTTTGGCTAGATATGAGTAAAGCTGCTTATATATAAGTTTTTCAAAAATTTTTGACAAGTTTGGCAGGATTGATATAGGTCTGTAGTTGTTAACATCTGTGAGATCACCACATTTGTGGACAGGCGTTACTCTCGCTTTTTTTAGAATATCTGGAAAGGTTTGGAGTTCAAGTGACTTGTTGAAGAGCAAAGCAATAGCAGGGGCTAAAGATCTGGAGGCTTTTTTGTAAATTAAAGTTGGTATCTCCTCAAGGGCACCAGACTTGGTTTTAAGGGAAAGGATTATCTCATTGACGTCAGTGGAGTTAATAGGCTTTAGGTACAGAGACTGTGGATAGTTACCTGTAAGATAGTCCTTAATGTCAGTACTGGCCTCAACGAGGACAGGAAGCCGGCGGCTTGTCGAAGGTGGCCCCATTTGCCTTAATGGTCTTTTCCAGTTGGATTTTAAGATTTAACAGAGTTTTGGTATTTATGACTTCGGCGGGTAGGCGGTTCCATGGGTTTATAACCCTGTGGGTGAAAAATGCTTCTCCTGTTCTCAGTCCTATATTGTGGCTTGTTGGTGAGCTTGAAACCGTTGCTCCTTGTTCGTGTTACATCTGACCTTTTGAAGAAATTGTCTGGATCAACATCCCAACATCCTCCAAATTGTTCAGTATTTTAAGTTTCAATGAGATCCGCCCTGTCATGCGTGGTTCGCAGTGTTGTTAGCCCTGTGGCCCTCAACCGTTCCTGATACAAGCGTTGTCTTGGCTCTGGAATGATTTTTGTTGCACGGTGTTGCACTTTCTCCAGAACATCTTCCTTCTGAAGATAAGGTCTCCACACTTGAATACTGATGGTGCCAGAAGTGTCTATCATTTCCCATGGTTCGAGACAAGAATAAGGCTGCCAGTTTTCCCTGACCAACGACAGATCTTACTCAAGATGCAACCCGTCTCCCAAGTACCTATTTACTACTAGGTGAAGAGGGACATCGGGTGTAATGAAACCTGCCGAAATGTGCTGGAAATCGAACCCGGAACCATATAGTTGTGAGCTGACTGTACCAGTCACTGGATATGTTGTAACATGGAGTAGGGGTGGTAGTAGAAGTAAGTAATATTTTATTATCTATAACTATAACAATGTAATAATGGGACTGAGTATATGCACTGTTTAGTTGGTGAATAATTAATAATAATAATGATGATAATAATAATATTTTATTTAGTTAAAAGTACATACAGAATGAGTTACAAGCAGAATGTTGGATTAATAGAGCTGGGATACGCCATGATATTGATATTACTGAGCCTTTTTTAATAAATTTACATGATCACTGGTATTAATCAAACAGCAAACTACACAGGGGGAAATATTATAATAGTCTAGGATTATTACAAACTGGGGGATATTATAAAACTATTAAAGAAAACTCTAATCATCACCAGAACACGAGTGATGACTCGTGTTCTGGTGATGATCACTTCTGGGAGACTGGCAGATGGGAACACCTGAGCCACTTGGCCTTTGGAACACTTTAGCACATATTCTACACTCAACTTCACCATTAAAACCCTGGGTTAATTACAGGTATTGACAAGTAACTCTTCATTTTACAAAATGGAAAGTGATTTCACTTTACATTGCTAGGCTACCTTAATTAAAAGGATGGGGGGGGTGGGGGAAAGATGGTAGTTGTTGAACCTGTTATATAAATGATGTCAATAGGTTGCCACCACTCTATTTTTAATTGAGGTGAACAGACATCTACTGACACAGGTATTTAGAATTACCAGTAGAATACTCTGAACCAAGCAGCCACGAAAGGGGAGGAGGGGAAGGGATGAAGCGTGGTTGAGTAAGGGAGAGCAGAGTCCATCGGTGTGGGGGTGTGGTCATTCTTGCCACACCTCTCAGTCCCTCACTCCTTTTCTCACAAGAGATTCCAGGTGGTCTTCACAAAAGAACAAGGAGAGGTCCCTGCACTAAATGAGGAGGCAAACCGAACAACCTTGGAGGAAATTTACCTCACCAGTGATGAGGTCAAAAGGAATCTGTTGGAGCTGAATGTGTCAAAGGCTGTTAGGCCTGAGAGAATCTCACCGTGGATTCTAAAAGAAGGTGCAGAAGCACTAAGTGTGCCACTCTCCATGGTGTATAACAGGTCACTGGAAACGGGAGACTTTCCGGAAAGCTGGAAGACAGCTAATGTAGTCCCAATATACAAAAAGGGTGACAGGCAAGAGGCACTGAACTACAGGCCAGTTTCCCTAACTTGTATACCAAGCAAGGTGATGGAGAAGATTGTGAGGAAAAGGCTCGTAGAGCATCTGGAGAGAAACAGCTTTGTAACACACCACCAGCATGGGTTCAGAGATGGTAAATCGTGCCTCACAGGCCTAATAGAATTCTATGACCAAGTAACACAAATTAGGCAGGAAAGAGAAGGGTGGGCAGACTGCATTTTCTTGGACTGTCAGAAAGCCTTTGACACAGTACCTCACAAAAGGCTGTTACAAAAGTTGGAACAGCAGGCAGGAGTAAAAGGTAAGGTGCTCCAGTGGAGAAGGGAGTATCTAAGCAATAGGAAACAGCGAGTAATGGTGAGGGGGGAGGCATCAGAGTGGCGAGATGTCACCAGCAGGGTTTCACAGGGCTCTGTACTCGGACCCATCCTGTTTCTAGTATATGTTAACGACCTTCCAGAGGGTATAGACTCATTCCTCTCAATGTTTGCTAATGATGCAAAAATTATAAGAATCAAAACAGATGAAGATAGACAGAGACTACAGGACGACCTGGACAAACTGGAGGAATGGTCTAGAAAATGGCTGCTAAAGTTCAACTCAGGAAAGTGTAAAGTAATGAAATTAGGCGAAGGGAGCAGAAGGCTGAACACAAGGTACCATCTGGGAGGTGAAATCCTACAAGAGTCAAATAGAGAGAAAGATCTGGGGGTCGATATCACACCGAACCTGTCCCAAGAGGCCCACAACAAATGGATATCATCAGCGGCATATGCTAGACTGGCCAATATAAGAACTCCCTTTAGAAACTTGTGTAAGGAATCGATCAGGACCCTGTATACCACTTATGTAAGACCAATCCTGGAGTATGCAGCTCCAGCCTGGAATCCATATCTAGTTAAACACAAGACAAAGTTAGAGAAGATTCAGAGGTATGCCACCAGACTGGTCCCGGAACTGAGAGGAATGAGTTACGAGGAAAGGCTAAAGGAGCTGAACCTCACAACCCTGGAAAACAGAAGAGTAAGGGGAGACATGATAACCACCTACAAAATTCTCAAGGGAATTGACAGAGTGGACAAAGCCAAACTCTTTAGCGCGGGTGGAGCACGAACAAGGGGACACAGGTGGAAACTTAGTACCCAGATGAGCCACAGAGACATTAGAAAGAATTTTTTCAGTGTCAGGGTAGTAAACAAATAGAATGCATTAAGTAGTGTTGTGGTGGAGGCTGACTCCATACACAGTTTCAAATGTAAATATGATAGAGCCCAATATGCTCAAGAATCTGTACATCAGATTGACAGTTGAGAGGCGGGATCAAAGAGCCGAAGCTCAACCCCCGCAAGCACAACTAGGCGAGTACTTAAACTGCTTAAATTGCTGCCATATTCGTTTGTTAATAATAATAATAATAATAATAATAATAATAATAATAATAATAATAATAATAATAATAAGTATTAATAATAATAATAATAAGTAAGTAATAATAATAATAAGTATTATAATAATAATAATAAGTATTATTATATATAATAATATTAATAAGTAATAATATATAATAATAATAATAAGTATTATTATATCTCAGCTCAGCTTATTATAAGCTCTCAACTCTTTAAGACATAACTGTAACATGCTCGTGTCCGAAGCTAGACACAAATACAACAAAATTATTAAGGATGGTAACAGAGTCCATTTCATGTGGTCTCCATCTCATGTTGGCCTCCGAATGCTTGATAGAGCTGATAAGTTAGCCAAAGAATCTGCCTTTAAAGGAGCCGTTGAGTGTAACCTTGGATTGTCAATGAGCAATCTGAGAGCAGCAGTACACCGAGAACTTCAACAAGATCTTGTAGATCTGAGGCAAAGTTAAATTGACACCAGTAATTCCATCTATCATCATACTATCATGCAAGAGGAGCCACACATCTATGGTTCATCCAATAAAATCAGCAGACTTCTAGATGTTACTACTGCTCGGCTTAGACTCGGTTACAAGTATCTCTGGGAATTCTCATTATCTGCTGATGTAGACCTGACCAAATGTAAACTGGGTCAACAAAATTATTCGCACACCCTCCATCACTATGTGATGGAGTGCGAAAAGATACGTGAATTTAGAGACAATTCTATAACCAATGTTCCAGCGATGTGTCAATATTTCATTCAAAATGATCTGCTACCAGAAATTTTAGCCAAATATCCCCAGTTTGCTAACTGTAGGTAGTAACTAAGTGATTGTAACCTATCCACCGCTGCCCACTGGATGGGGGGGGGGGCGGTGTGCAGGACAAACATATAAATGTTGACACTAGCTCTCCACATATGTCAGTTGCTTAATTTAGAACCTGTACTTGAGGTCGATCTCGAACCCATTGTTGATGTGATGACTTATATTGAATTTTGTAACTAGCTCATCAAGATTGTAACTTGCTTAGCTAAATGAATTGTGGGGTTCAGTCCCTGAGCCCATTATGTGCCTCTGTAACCCTTTCCACTACCGCCCACAAGATGGGTATGGGGTGCATAATAAATGAACTAAACTAACTATTATTATATTGCAAAGAAGGGTTATAAAAAAATAGGAAACTGTTGACATGTCTTATTCATAAAAGAAATCTACTTCAGAAGTAAAATTAAAAAACAATAATTAAAATGTATTGTCCAGCAGGTCATTTGTAGTGACAATTACTTCAAGTGTGAGTCTAGCGAGAGGTGTATACACTCTCGCTGGCAGTGTAATGGTGAAGATGATTGTGGCGATGGTAGTGATGAGTTGGGCTGCAACAGCACAAAGGTACGTCCCCAGCAGGAAGGTGTTGGGCTGCTGCTCCCGGGCCAGGCTCCCTCAGCCCTCCCCCCAACCCCCCTCCTGTCCTTCTTGTCTGGTTTGAGAATATCATGTAATGTTCGCAAGACTTTGCTACTCGTAGATATAAATAAATAAATAAATAAATGTTTATTTAGGTAAGGTACATACATACAAGAGATTTTTACAAAGATTGGTGGACTTATAGATAGAGCTAGTACATACAATGCCTAAAGCCACATCTTCTATATCTTAAGCCATATCTTCTGATAAACTGTGTTTCTCTGTCTTTCTATATCTACAGGTAGTGTGTGGTGAAACGGAATACCATTGCTGGTTTATCTTCCAGTGTATCCCCCAGGCTAAACTCTGCGACGGCGTCAATGATTGCAAGGACACTACTGATGAAGTATTGTGTTCCTACCAATTAGATAAAGAATCTTCGACTGCTGTACCAACAGAATTTGTACCTGATCTTTCTGAATTGGGGACTGATTTGCCTACAGAATCTGCGACTGATTTGCCTGCAGAATCTGGGACTGATTTGCCTGCAGAATCTGAGACTGATTTGCCTGCAGAATCTGGGACTGATTTGCCTGCAGAATCTGAGACTGATTTGCCTGTAGAATCTGGGACTGATTTGCCTGCAGAATCTGGGACTGATTTGCCTGCAGAATCTGGGACTGATTTGCCTGCAGAATCTGGGACTGATTTGCCTGCCTACGACTCTGGGACCGACTTGCCTACGAAATCTGTGACTCATTCCCCTACTGTATCTGGCACAGAATTTTTTTTCAGTGAGTCACTCGAGAAATCTTCCACCGATCTCCCAACCGATATTCCTATATGGAATACACCAGAGCAACCTTCAGTTTTGTTAGTAGCCGAAGCCTATCCTAATGTAAGTTTTGGTGTTCCTCTATACTGTACATGGTTTACACAAAGCATCTTTTGAAAGTTATTGATGATTAATTAAATTTTGTATGATATACTGTAGTGTCATAATGTTTTATTACTTATTCTACAGAATTTTCTGGGATTGCCCCTTTCACTGGCTTAGGAGGGCTTATAAATTGGTGCCCTGAGACCAATACTATATCACTAGGTGTTTCAGACTAACATCATGGTTCACGGGGATCTGGGGCCGATTGATAAAGGTCAAGAGGTGGCATGGGCAAATTTGGGACAAAAATTCAGCCCTCCCCCCCCCATTCACAGAGGATGCATGCCTTCCCGTTTCCCTAAGTTCTCAGAGCTGTAAATCCTGGGTTTGAGGTTCCCACCTGAGGTTTTCCCTGCCTGTTGGTTCCTGTGGTTATGGTCTGCCTTTAGGCTGTCCGCAGCCTCTTGCTCTGTGATTCTGGTGGTGGGTTGGTTGGTTTTCAGACTCGGTGCTTGTTGTGGGTGGTTCACTGGGTGTTGATATTTGAGTGACTTGCTTGTTCCTTGGCCCCCACCTCCACTAAGTTGCATATTTGATGGGGGGGGGGGGGTATTGCTCTGCCCTAGGCGCTCTTCTGCCACCTTGTATGAGTCGGCTGTGGCTGCTTTTAAACTATAAGTTTTTTTTTATTATTGAAACATCATTGTGAATTCGTATCTGGAAGCTTCTTAGGGAGCCCTCCCAGGAATAAAATGTTGACTAATGACAACACTTTTGCCAGTGGTGCCAGCATTAATTAATCGTCCCAGCCTTGCTTGCTTTCTTTCTGTGGATTTTTGGCATTCATTTTGGCCAATTCACGAGTGAGTGGACCAATAGGAGCTGCCTGGTCTGGGTCAATAGGAGCTGCATTCTCTGGGCCAATAGGAACTGCTTTATCTGAGCCAACAGGACCTCTACACTTTTTTTTCATTTTTTTTATATAAGAGTTCTTACATTTTGTATAGCCACTAGCATGCGTAGTGTTTCTTAATCCTATGTTCCCCGGAATATGACCCCGCCAAATCGTTTAACAACCAGGTACCCATTTTACTGTTGGGTAAACAGAGGCTATAGTTAAAGATTGGCACCCAATAAATCCTCCCTGCCAGGATATGAACCCAGGCCAAAGTGCACACGAAATGACAGGCAAGTGTCTTAACCACAGCACCACGGAGACTGTCCTTTTATTCTTATGTTCTTATTATGTGACAATACACTTATTTAAAAGTTTATTTTCACAGTTAAGAACAAATTGTAACCCAGGAACCTGGTGTGTGATGAGAGTCAAGTGGCAGACCCCGTGACGCCTTGAGACTCTGGTCCAAGGAGCATATGGGGACTCTTGGCTCAAAAAAAAAAAAAATATATATATATATATATATATATATATATATATCTATATATATATATATATTTATATATATATATATATATATATATATATATATATATATATATATATATATATATATATATATATATATATATATATATATATATATATATATATATATATATATATATATATATATATATATATATTATCAAGCGCATTTCATATTTTTGTTAATTGCTCTCTCTCTTGTAGGTCACATGTGAGCAAGACCAGTTTAAATGTTTGTCACACAACAGATGTATAAGATCCAGGTGGCGGTGTGATGGAGAATGGGATTGCCGCGATGGTAGTGATGAGGACGGTTGTGAGGTTAGTACAGTATGTACTCCTGGTATAGTATCTACTCCTTCAGTACATCAGTACTGTAAATCCATATTTATCCATATCAGTAACTTTTATATAATAGGAGTTACTGAAGCCTTGTATTTGTCCCTTATTGCTAGCAGTCTCTTTAGTAATTGAAAAATGTGTAAAATAATAATTGGGAGGATTATTTGCATTACTTTTATTATAATTTAATTATAAATTAATACCAAGAAAATCATGTAATGTAGGCCCTTTTTTTTTTTTAACACATTTTTAAGATGTTTTAGACATGTTTATATTGAAAGTTTTGCAAAAGATATAAATGCCAGAATGTTTTCTCATTGCAACCCATGTATGTCCTATGAATAAAACAAATTAGGATCATAGCTATTCAGAATTCTTTCATAACTCCTATACTTGGAGATTTTGTTTAGTTATTTCACTGGTGGTCACGAAGTGGCTCCTGCATTGCTGTTCATTTTCAAGCAAATTTCTGGTATATCTTCATTGTAGATTTCAGTAACTTTATCTGTAACTTAAGGATTCATAATCATGTATGAAAACCATGAAGGCTTATATCTCACATTTGAGGTTGTGATGGTAAGTAAAATTATGTATAAACATGAGGGGTTTGTTTGCTCCTGAAGGTAAGGGGTGTTTGTGTCATGTGGTCAGGATCATGCATGGTTAATTAAGCAGGACAACATATTGAAATGACTGATAGCTGTATGTTCATAACAATTGGAAGCCCTCCCTTTGTATCAGAGACAGAAAGAATGTAATTACCTAAGTGTAGTTACAAGATGAGAGCTACACTTGCTGTGTTCCATCTTCCTAGAACTCTGCCAAATGATACAGTACTTTGAAACTACTAATGGTTTTGGCCTCTACCACTTTCTCACTGCGTCCATCAACCATCTACCACTCTGTTTGCAAAAGATAATTTTCTAAGATTTTTTGCCATCCTTGTTTCCTTAGCTTGAATTGTTGACCTCTTGTTCTTGAAATTGCAGGTTTCAAGAATTCCTCTGTCAGTTTTGTCAATTTCTGTTACTATTTTGTACGTAATGATCATATTGCCCCTTTTTCCTCTTATCTTCCAGCATTGGAAAATGTAACACTGCGTTTCTCCTCGTAGCTTTTATTTTTCAGTTTTGGAAACCATTTATTAATACTGAACAGTATATCTTTTCAACTTTCCAGTTTGCTGATGTGCTTTTTGAGATATGGGCCCCCATACAACCACTGTATATTCCAATTTTGGTCTCACAAAAGTCATGAACAGTTCCTTTAATATTTCACTGTCCTTGTATTTAAGTGATTCTGAAGTTGGAAAGCACTACACAGGCTCCTCACACAATGACCTTTATGTAGTCCTCGGGTGACGGTTTACTATCCAGAACCACCACTAGATCTCTTTTTTTTTTTTAATCAGAGTTCTTTAAAGCCTTTTCACATAATTTGTAGTTTGTGTGTGGCCTATTTTCTTCTATTCCACATTCCATAATGTGGCACTTATTCATATTGCATTCCATCTGTCAAATGTTGCTCCATACACTAATTTTTCTAGGTCATCTTGAAGAACATGACAATCTTCTAAGTTTTATTTTTCCTAGTAGCTTAGCATCATCAGCAATTATATTCATATAAATATGTATTCCATCCGGTAGATAATTTATGTAGACAATGAACATACTGGTACACACAAAAAAAATTCTCAACATTACTGGTGCTAGTAGAACCCTGTAGTAATCCACTAGTAACATTTCTCCAGTTACTAGTTCTCTGATACATTGTCTCTGATTACCACCCTCATTTTTCTATCATAAAATTGTTCATCCATATCAGAAGTCTTCCTGTCATTTCTCCGGAATGTTTCAGCTTCCAGAAGAACCTCTTATGTGGAACTCTGCCAAAAGTCTTTTTCTTTAGTTCCCAGATATATGCATTCAACTCAACCGTCACTTTCCTGTAAGATCTGTCTCTCTATCATAAAAACTAAATGGGGTTGTTACACAGGATCTTCCTATTCGAAAGCCAATCTATCTGTTATTGTGATTTCTTTCCAGGTACACTATTCTACCTATTTTGTTTTAATTATTTTGTCTAATATTTATACTACTACACTTGTCAATGATACAGATCTATAATTTAGAGGGGTCTCTGCAACTATTCTTGTACATTGGAACTATATATGCCTTTTTCTATATATATATATTTGCTAGGATTCATGTACATAACGATCCCTGAAAAATCAGTTGAAGTGGAATTGGAATGCTCAACTCGGGTGCACATTCTCTCATGACCCAAGATGAGACTCCATCTGGGTCAACTGCTTTATTTCTACCTAGCTCCATGAACATTTTATTTCTACTCCATCTCTAGGCACTTCTATGTACTCTGTTGTACTCTGAAATCTGTATTGTTTGGTTCTCTGAAAACCTTCATTTTGCACACACACTCACTTTGAAACTTTGAAACTGTTCATTTAGAGTTTCACATTTTCTTTTCACATTGTGAATCTGTTTCCCATTTTCAACCTCTTGATTTTATCCTTTACATGCAATTTGCTTTTAATAAGTTTATAGAATGTCTGGTTCTATTTTGCATTTTGTCTATTTCTTTCTCAATGTTTCTTTTTGCCTGTTTCCTCACTTCCGTATACTGTAGTTATTTCTTGCTCGTTTGTATTGCTGGTATGAATGAAAGTTAAGCTTCTTTCTATATTGATTCCATTTTTTTGTTTTTTGATCTCTAACGCTCTCACAGTTTCCTTTAAATCAGTCCTGTTTTTTTAGTTCTGCATCTCTGCTGTGATATAATGTTTGTTTGTTCCTTCATCATATTTCTCACAAAACTTTGCATACATCTCATTTACTTCCTTGCTAACAACAAGTCTTTCTAGTCAAATTCATTAAAGTCTCATTCATCTCAAGTCTCCGTGGTGTAGTGGTAAGACACTCGCCTGGCGTTCCGCGAGCGCTATGTCATGGGTTCGTATCCTGGCCGGGGAGGATTTACTGGGCGCAATTCCTTAACTGTAGCCTCTGTTTAACGCAACAGTAAAATGTGTACTTGGATGAAAAAACGATTCTTCGCGGCAGGGGATCGTATTCCAGGGACCATAGGATTAAGGACTTGCCCGAAACGCTACGCGTACTAGTGGCTGTACAAGAATGTAACAACTCTTGTATATATCTAAAAAAAAAAAAAAAAAAAAAAAAAAAACTTGCTAAGTGTCCCATAGTGTCCTCTCCTGAAATCAAGCGTTTCAATTGTTTCATATTCCCCCATTCTCTTCTAGATTATAATGTATTGTATATATAATTTCCAAAAGAACATGGTCACCCAAGGGTGGAAGGTACTGAATATCAAATATTCCTTCTTTCCTGGTGAATATCAAATCTAGCATTGATGGGACACCCCCCTTACCTCATTCTCGTGGCCTACTTAATGGGTTGATCCATGAATGTCTCCAGGATGAGATTTACAAAGCGGCCATTCCAGATGTCCTGCATTCTTGCTTTGTAGGCCTCCTAATCTATTGATGTCAAGTTGAAGCCACTGAATACCAATAATTATGAATTATCTTTATTTGCTCTTACTATAATCTCTCTAATGATCATTATAGGTCTTCTCATTTGTTGTCCAACTCCTCTTTTGTCTGTGTTACTTACTGGTGGACTATTAAGCATTGATGATTATAAGTTTTTCATCCCAATTACAAATCTCTGCTGCCACTATGTCAACTTCTTGTGGGTTGTTGATTCTTAATTCTCTTATCTTTAGGTGTTCTTTCACCAACACAGCAAGGCCTCCACCCCCACCTTTTCTATTTTTTCTGTCACGTCTCCAAATTGAGTAGCCCCCTCGGGAATACTTCCTCGTTTAAAATATTGTCTTCGTGTTTTGTCTCTGGTAGTGCGATAATACCTGGCATCTTAAGCCGTATTTTATCATTTAGCTTCAGTATTTATCTCTTTCTATCTCTTTGAGATGTGTATTGCACTGATGACAGCTACCACAAGTGACATGATTGTGGGGGAAAACTGACTCGTGGGAATTGTTTATTTATTTTAATTTAAATTATTAATTAATTCATTTAATGATTTATAATTTATTTTTATATTTATTTCTCATGTTAATTTCTTTCTTTCAATAGCTAACTGTAGGATTCTAAAGTGGACAGTATGGTTTAATTTTTCCCACAAGTACAGTACTGTAGTTCCCTACACAAGTTGAGGGGTTTATTAATAATATAGCCTACCATATCAAAATTAATCGATTATAGAAATTTGTAACTAAGTGTTAGACTACAATGGTTAGTATTAATGAACTAAAGAACAGCTTAGGTGTTATGTAGAATGTTGTCTGCTTAAAGAACAATAGGCACGTCCACGTCACATGAGCTGAATCTCTGGCGGATCAGTCTATGGCGTCTGCAGAGTGCCTCGTGGAACCAGGTATTTTGTTTATATTGTTTCAGATTGTCAGACATTACCGGCTGGATTAATACACCGTAAAAAAAAATGCAAAAGCATTTTGCATTTATACCAGATACATTTGGTCATCCTTATACCAGATACGACATGACACTGATTATGGTTAAATTAGTATTAGATGCTTACTCATTTTTTGGGTGTCGTCCTACCTCATAACCAGGTCGAAATTAACTTGATACGAACAGGCCTGATAATACAGAGAATTAGTTCAAACCAGAAATAAGGTACGCCCTGTAATTGGTGAGGTCGCTGAGGGAGATTGACTTCAAATAACTCGTGTGGTTTTGAGTATTGACTGTACTGTGTATCGTATCGCGTGTCCTCACGGAAAGTCTACTCAATCACAATGGTGTTCCTCCTCCGTCCCTGATCAAGTGATACCTTGAGGAAATTGGTTCAATTTTCTGCCTTATTGACAATGGGAGGGAGACCTTAGTTTTATTGGTAATTTAATTATATCCAGTCATAGAGAATACTTTTTATCAATTTTAACCCCCAGACTGGTGTTTTAAATTACTGACTAATATTTAATTGTGTATATTCTGGTGACGTGACAATTATATCCTCATTTTCTCGGGGAAAATTCCACAATTCTAATTTTCTTTGAATGATTAAATAAAATACTTTTGTGTTAATTTGTTAATACAAAGTCAACAGCAATATTATCTGCATATTGTATTGAAAGTAAGTGGTGTCGGTATTTCCGACAATGATGACCAAACCACACATCAGAAGATGGAGAAACGAGAGCTCTAGTTAGAGGCCTCTCTTAGCTGTCACTTGTGATGTTGTCATGCCAAGGAAAAGGTTTGGAAGAGACATTTAGTGTTAACAAATGTATTTCGACATAATGATAATAGTCCAGGGTAGCCTGAAAGGTCATCATTTTATATTTTCTGATGTGTGGGTTGGGTGTGTACTTCCAATGTGTGGGTGTGAATGAAATGCATTTCTATTCCTTCATTCTGGGCTTGATTGAGAATTGTTACCAATGACTTCCTGGCCACTTTCATGACCCCTGCAAGGATGCTTTGAAAGGATCCTTATGATGCCAGTGCAAAAATGTCATTGTGCGTATTTGTGTGATCTTGTGTCATGTGACACAGCGCATACGTGTCATGCTTTGAGAAGCATACTTTGTGATATATTTCTCAGAAAGGCCTTTGTATTTGTTATGAAAATACAGCATTGTCTTATATCTTGAACTTTGAATGTACAGAACTTTAAAATGGTGGCATTAATAAACTGAAAATATTGAATGTGTCTAGAAAGGTTTTAAAGTTTATATGTATATGGCCCCATTCTTGGGGCTAATCATTACTAGATGGTAGCTAGCTAAATAAAATGGAAAGTAACAGATGTCTGAGAGACTCATAATAATAGTGTTCCTTATTCTTACAGAACTTGTGTCCGAGTGGCAAATTCCGCTGCGACAATGAGCAGTGTATCTTGGCCAGTTGGCGGTGTGATGGGGACAAGGACTGTGGTGATGGAAGTGATGAAAGGAACTGCAAAAAGGTTATAACTTTACTACACATTCAAATATAGTGTAAATAATACAATAGATAAATTCAGTGTTTTCTGCTTATAGCCCAGTTAATTAATTGTGATTACTTGTTGCTGTTCTACTGTTATAGATGTACAGGACAAAGATTTATGCTCATACTTTCAATACTCAGTTGTACGTAGTCATGGGGCAAGTGAATTATTTCTGGGGGAGCTCTTTGTGGCTTCCTGAAGCTATCTCGCTGAGATAGCTCCCAACTACTAGAGCGTATCAGCTGTGGAGTTCAGTTCGGTCTACCGGGGACCAGAGCTAGAGCCTGGCCCCCCTCACAAGAAACAAAGAAAACAGGTGACACTCTGCCACCATGCCATGAAAGGCACCCAGAAAGTCTGCAAACCCCTGCAAACTACTATTGGGCTCAAGAGAGACCAAAGCTTCACAACCTGCCGAAGGAACTCTTCCCCAACATTGTAAATAAATGATCAAATATCTCGAAACAAGCTTGCACTCGTACAGCCCACCCCTCCTACTTGTTTGGGGAAAGAGGGGGGCCAGGGTTGAAGCTGTCTGCTGGCTCCAGCAGTCAGTTCTTTTGCTGATGGAGCACTTGGCCCATGTCTGCAGTTGGGCTCCTGGATCATCAATAAGCTGTGGCTGGCCAGAGTACTTTTCATTTAAGTGCCTCTTTTGACTTCGTCCTGTGTGGCTTAAGGTCGTACATTGTTCGTGTAGCATAAGTTTGGCCTTCTAGAGTGCTTAGAGCTGCATGTGCTCAGGGGTACGTTCCCTGAGTGCTCTCTTGCACTTTCCCTACACTGAGAGAGTTCTCTTCTCTGGTGTGTTCAGGAATTCGCTGTCTTTGAGGAGTGTCCTACTTGGAGTGGCCCTCACCTTGAGTAAGTCAAGGGTCTCATTGCCCCTCTGTCTTGACCTGGGTCGGAAGCAGGTGTTAACTGGTGGGGGGCATACTGGTGGGGTCACGTACTTGTACATAGGGTGCACCGAGGTTGGTTTTCACAGACATGTAGCCCAGGTTATGTTGGCTTTTTTTTATGTCCAGCATAGTGTCTTCTGCCCCTGAGTGTCCTACTTAGTTTACTCTTCTGGTCTGGAAATTCCCTATGGGTTTTGTGTGGTGAATGGATATTCTCTCTCCGAACCTGTTTTCACCTTATTAGAAATTGAGGGATGTTGTCATCCATGCCATGCAGCAACGATCATTCCTTCGGGCTCTTCCATGAGGACATTGAGACACTCGGCTCTAGGCCTGGTGAGGGTCCTTTAATGTTTGCTGTGGCATCGTTGGCAGTTTTACCCAAGCTGTATGTGCATGTGGACGCGGCGGCTGCGTATTATGCTGCCCACCTTGTGTATCGACAGGCTGTCTTAGCCCAGTCTTTAGAATTGCCTTGGGACCTAACCCTCTTGTCTGTCTCCTGGTTTGTCAAGCCCTGGTCCCACGATTTGTGGGATTTTCAGGTCACTTCGAGCAGCCTGTGGTAGAGTTGGTCAGTCCCTCCCTTTTTCTGTGGGCTGGGGTTTTTGGGGCAGGCCTCTTTTTTTTTTTTTTCCTCACCTGCATTGGGTCATTTCAGAGTGAGTTGCTTTCGGGGAAGGACGAAGTGATCACATCTCTTCTGTGGTCATTCAGTCTTTTCTCAGTTCCGAAACGGAAATCGGCAGAGCTCGGGTTTATCCTTGATCTGTTGGACTTGAACCTCTTTGTTCCTTGTTCTACATTCCAGATGACCACTTTGGCCCAGGTTCATCTTGTATTAGAGGCAGCTTCCTGGATAATATCCCTGGATGTCCGGGATGCATATTGGCATTTCATAAGTCCAGGGATATGCACTGCTCATGCACCACTTGAGATCGCTTGGTGTTTGGACAGTGTTCTCGCTCCTCTTCTTCTAGGTTTATGGTGTTCCCTTCAGTTCGGTATTCTTATTCAATAGCTGTTGGCCCTGGCTTCTGGTTGTTAGTTATTAAGCTTCATGCTCTCCTCTGGAGGTGAGTTTTTTATTCTTTTGGCCTAGGTGGGAGATTCGTTCATCTGCAGATGGCTCATTTCTGGTGGAGAGGAGAATGAATCAGCCAGCTCCCGGAGAGGTCCTTTGGTTATCGATGCTTGGTTGGTTAGGCCCGGGGGGGGTTACATGCATTGTATGCTATTCCCTGTGGCAACTCTTGGCCGCTACCTTGATGCCACCAATTCTGCCTCGTTGGATGCTTTGCAGGTTGATCCTGTTTCATTAGGTCTTTCCTCCCTGGTGTGCCCCAGTTTTTCTTCTGAGGGAAAAGTTAGCTTCAGGGAGCCACAAGGAGCTCCCCCTCCCCTCCTAAAAAAACAGCATTGAATGTAATGAGATGCCAGTTTCTTGGTGAGCCCTGGTGGCTCTGATTTACCCCTTCCCTTCCAGGTTATCAGTTGGGGGTATTTTGTGAGTACATCTGCTCCAGAACTGACTGCTCAAGCCAGTATGATGGGTGAAATAAATGAGCGCCAGCCCGTCCTCCAAACAAAGACCCAAAAGTGATTCCATGCACCCGCCAAACTTCCTGTTTATGAATGAAAAACGATTTACACACGATTCACAACTGATTTCGTTCGTACACTTCCGGAACAAGTGCTTCACCGACGAATTTTGTTCAAACCACAACACTGTAAATGCTTCACCCACGTACTGTACTACAAATACAAATAATCGCCAACAGAACCTAAACACCTATCCTATGCCTATATATATGCAGAATATGGTAATGTATCAAAATATCAATTTATATTTTGAGAAAATTCCCATTTTGAATGAACAGCATGTTAAAATTTATGATTGCGTCTGTGGGGGTCGACCGCTGGATGTAATGGACTTCAGTCGAGGACGGGTTGATGAGCGCAAGTTTGTTCCGAGACGTTTGATCTTTTGTTTACATTGTTGGGAGTTCGTTCGGTGGGTTGTGAGGTTTGTCTCTTTTTCAACCAAGCTGTGGTTTGTATTGGTTTGCTGACTACAGTATTTGGGTGCCTTTCCTAGCGAGGTGGTGGAGTGTTCCCCGTGCCTCATGTGAGGAGGCCAGGTTCTGGCTCTGGTCCGCGATAAGCCAAACTGAACTCCACAGCTGATGCGATTTAGTAGATTGGAGCGGTCCGTCTAATTACCCAAATCTACTCCAAGCTGCCCAAAGATTCCTAGTACCTGTATTACATAAGTAATGAAGAAATATGATATATTTACTCACTATAATGTTGGTGCTGAATGTAGAACATGGAAAAACTTATTTTTACTCTGAAATAATATAAGTTTATAACAAAATTAACGAAACTAAGTGGCATGAGAGGCCATAGGAAGTTGACGATTCAAGCGACAATGTTGTGGAGCGACTTATCCAAGATATATTGTTGCCTAGAGGTTATATTAAGTTAGGCTTGGATAGGTTAGGTTTAGTTAGGTTAGATTTAGTTAGATTAGGTTTTGTTAGGTTAGGTTTGGGTAGGTTTATTAGGTTAGGTTTAGGTAGGTTTGTTAGGTTAGGTTTGGGTAGGTTTGTTAGGATAGGTTTGGGTAGGTTTGTTAGGTTAGGTTTGGGTAGGTTTGTTAGGTTAGGTTTGTTAGATTAGGTAGGTACAAGAGGCTGATATGCCAGCAAACACTCTCCAGGCAGCAATGTGTCTTGGATAAGTCGCTCCACAACATTGTCGCTTGGACCATTGACTTGCTTTGGCGTCACCAGCAGCTTATCTTCAACTAATTTCGTTATGAAATGATACTTTTTCAGAGTAAAAATATATTTTTCATGTTCTACATTCAGCACCAACATTATAATGAATAAATATATCATATATATTCATTACCAATGTAATGTTAGGAAGCTTTGGGTAGCTTGTTAGGAAGCTTTGAGTAGCTTTGGGTAATTAGACAGACCCGATGGGAGCCATCCTAGCGAGATAGCTTTAGGGAACCACCAGAGATTGCCCAGAAATTGGCATTTCATTACATTCAGCACGGGTTTTTTAGTCCTAAATGTTCATTTGGTGTGTTCTCATGTAGTTTCTCCAAGAGGAAAGCATGCTGTTTGTGTGTACTGTATAACAGTATGATATTGTCAAAAACACTTATTTAACATAATTGTCATTGAGATTGTGCTATGATTATCTCTGTTTGAGGATTTTGGGCTTCTTTTGAGAGAAAGATAAAAAAAGTTGAAATTAGGACAGAAAACCAGTTTAAAACTTTTACTAAATTTCATTCTTCTGATTCTTCTGAGGAATCTGATTTAAAAATCAGAAAAAGTTTCTGATTTACCTGAGGACCACTAACCCTAGTGGCCTCGACGAGGACAGGAAACCAGCGGCTTGTCAAAGGTCCCCCCATTTGCCTTTATGACCTTTTCCAGTTAGATTTTAAAACACAGGTTTCTATATTTTAGTAATTACTAAAATTGATGTTGAAGTACTGAATGCAATTTGTGAACATTTTGTCTAAAGAGTGATCTCTTCACTGATTAAGTAGCTCAAATATACATCAAAATATTCAGTTATTAACATGTTTTAAATACATTTAATTAGGAATGTAGTGAAGCTGAATTTCGATGCATAGGGGATGAAAAGTGCATCCCCGAAGATAAAGTGTGCGATGGTATTGATGACTGTGGGGATGACAGCGATGAAGCTCGTTGCCCCAGCCAACCAGACCCACCAACTACTACAGTGTTACCAGAGACCACATCATCTTCATCTACTGAAGTGAGCTTAGTTTTTAAACAAAAATGCTTTTCTTTTTTAATGTACTGTAGTTGCTGATAAATGACTTAATTAAGAAAGGGACAACAGGTAAGGATGTTTTCTCCTAACACTCAAAGATGTCTTGTGGAAAATACTGAACATCCTTTCACCAAGTCGGTTCATAATATGGGAACTGTTTCAATGAATGATTTAGCGGAAAATGAAGATGTTCAATATGCAGACGATAAGTCACAATAACGGGGGCTAAAGATATGAAGACTAAATCAAACACCGGAAGATGAGATGACGACGACGTTTTGGTCCATCCTGGACAAGTCGATGAAGATGTTCTACATGGGCTTAATAGAAGAGGGCTCTTGGAAATAATTTGATCTTGCACTCCCAAATGGATTTGGTATGGATAGGCTCCTTCAAGGTAATCTACACAGCATTTGTTAGACCAATACCGGAATATGCAGCACCATCATGGAATCCATACCTTGTGAAGCATAAACCTAAAATTGAAAAAGTGCAGAAATTTGCAGCAGGATTAGTGCCAGAGCTAAAGGGGCTAAGTTATGGGGTATAAGCAAATGGAATTAAATCTCACAACACTAGAGGACAGACGAAACAGAGGGGACATAACATTCAAGATACTGAGGGGACTAGACAAGGTGGACAAGGACAGCCTTTTTAAATTGAGAGAAAGTAGCACAAGAGGACATAAGCAGAAGCTGGATGCACATTTGAATCGAACAAATGTAAGGAAATACTTGTACCATGTATGGGTACAAAGTGGAATGCACTGAAAGAAGACGTCGCTTACATCAACAACTTTAAAGCTAGATTTAACAAAGAAATTGAACATCAGGATAAGTAAATTATAATGCAACAGGTACAAGAAGGCTGGTAAAGGGTGGTATACAAGGTCCCCTTTGCCCAGTATATGTGTATAAGGCTGGGAGTGTTGGCCTCACTTCCTCAGACACTAATAGAAAGTGTCTGAGGGAGTGAGTACAATTTTTTTTTTTTTTTTTTTTTTTTTTTTTTTTTTTTTTTTTTTTTTTTTTTTTTTTTTTTTTTTTTTTTTTTGAGATATATACAAGAGTTGTTACATTCTTGTACAGCCACTAGTACGCGTAGCGTTTCGGGCAGGTCCCTGGAATACGATCCCCTGCCGCGAAGAATCATTTTTTCATCCAAGTACACATTTTACTGTTGCGTTAAACAGAGGCTACAGTTAAGGAATTGCGCCCAGTAAATCCTCCCCGGCCATGATACGAACCCATGACATAGCGCTCGCGGAATGCCAGGCGAGTGTCTTACCACTACACCACGGAGACTATAAATAGTTCCGTCTCTGGAACAGTTCCGTCTTTGTATCAAATGGCAGCAATCCGTATCAGAAAAAAGCAAAATGCATTATCAACGGTAACTGAAGTATCATCTGAATAGTGAGACCAAACATAACCAAAGAATTTTGGGGACAGATTCATAGGGCACTGTTCTATTTGTATAGAGGTTCTACTTGTATATAGGTCTAGTGTACTTGTATCCAGGTGCTTCTCAATCTGTACAAAGGACAGTAAAAATATTAGTGCCACTCTCACAAATTCAGTATTATTTTGTAAACAAATAGTGCAGCACTTTATAAGATTGTATCGCCCAAAAAAAGTCCAGCATTCCATTGGCCTATATCTAATACTGCAGTTGCCCATAGGTCTATATCTAAATAATGCAGCATTCGACATATCCACAATCCTTAGGTTGGATTGTCATTGTTAAACCACAGTCCCTGTGGTGTAGTGGTTAAGATGCTCGCCTGGCGTTTCGCGTGCGCTTTGTCCTGGGTTCATATCCTGGCCGGGAAGGATTTATTGGGCGCAAATCCTTAACTGTAGCCTCTGTTTAATTCAACAGTATTCAACAGTAAAATGGGTACTTTGTTGTAAATCGCTTTTTCGCAGGGTCGTTTTCCAGGGAACAAAGGATTAAAGACTTGCCCGAAATGCTATGCGTACTAGTAGCTGTACAAGAATGTAAGAACTCTTGTATATATATAAATAAATAAATAAAAAATATAAAAACCAGTTCTCCAATTACTCTAAAGAATGTGCAGTAATATCTGTAATATGATTCACTCTCAAAGATGCATGAAGCATTACTGATGTCAGTCCAGGCTATACAATTTTACAATTTTAACATTTTATAATATTAAAATTTTATAATTTTATGGCTTGTGCACTGTGGGGTTTTAACATCTAGTCTGACCAGTACGCCTTATTTGACTGCTGTTAGTCCTGAGGTGGTCAGACTGTGGGTTCGTTTGTTTATTAACTATTCATATGTGAAAGAGACTGTTTCTTTGTCTGTCCAAGGTTGGAGACCAGACACTTTGGGCTAGCCTCACCCAACTTTGCAGGGGACTGGTCTGGGGAGGGGGTAAGGTCACATAGTGACAGGGAAGAGGAGGGGAAAATGGGGGAGATGGAGATAAAAGAGAATGGGGGGGGGAGCTGTTGAGGGTAAAGAAGTAGGTTATTATTCATCATTATGGAATAATAACCCAGTATATAAAAAAAAAACAAGAAATTTAGACTGGATACTGTATTTCAATTTCAAGCCTGGAAGAGGGTGCTGGTTTGTGATCGAAATATCCGGTCTACATTTCTTGTGTTGTCTAAATTCAGTAGTAGGTTATTTTTTCATAATGAGGAATATTAGCCCACTTCTCTATCCTTCTTCTATATACTGTATACATATACAGTACATATATACTGTATATGTGTATATGCTGTATGAAATATTACAGTATTTATTTCTTATCCATTTTTTTCAGAGAAAGTGTACACTGGATGAATTTTCTTGCTCAGTGGCTGGACATTGTGTGGCGCTTTCTTGGCTTTGTGATGGTGACCGTGATTGTCCTGATGGGAGTGATGAATCTGAATGTCCTGAGGTATGCTCCTTTCTGATACATACTGAATTAATAAATTCTGTTTCTGTTTTGTGAAATCCATGTTCGATATAATAAACATTTCTCTAATATTGTGATGTGGATAGATATAATAAACATTTTTCTAATAACTGGTATCATGATGGGGGACCGGTTGACATTCTGCACTGGTCCTTTGGTGCAGTGATCTACGTCGTTGATTCACAATCGTGAATCCTGGTTTCAATCCCCAGATGGGGGTAGCAATTATCTGACACATTTTCTTTCACCTGATGTTCGGTTCACCTAGAAGTAAGTAGGCATATCCTGGGGAAGGTCAGTAGTTGACATAGCAAGAGCTCAATAAGCTCTCACTGTCCCAAAGAACAGGCTTCCTGTCCCTAACAACAGGGCTTAGTGCTTTCAAGACATAGTTGGCATCACAGTGACTGCCAGGAAGTGTTCCCTCTACCAATTGGCTTACGTAACCTCTGGTCGCCTCTCCTCCCGTGTTTTCACCTCTTACAGCGATGACAGTTTGGTCAAGCCTGGGCATCTTCTGTTGGTGGTCTGGGTAGGCCATTCTTGGAGCCAGAAGCTGGGTTGCATGTGCCTCCCGCACCCGCTTCTTCTTCTTCGTCTGGTCGGCGCCATGATCGCTCTGTTCGCAAGGCTGCTCGCAGGGTTCGTGTCAGCCCTTTGCGGGTTGCCTATTTGACCATGCAGTTGTGGGGAGGCTCACTTGGTCCCTCGGTTTGTGGGCTTTTCAGGATGTTTCTTTTGGCCTGCGGTGGCATTGGCTGGTCTCATTGCCCTCAGGGGGTTGAGGCTGTTTGGGGCAAGCCTCCTTTACTTGCCTTCATTGGGTCATCTCAGGGTGGGTGACTTTGGGTGTGTCATCACAATTGCACTGCTTTGGTAAGTCTCCCGCCTGTTCCAGTCAAGACGCTCTGGATCTCTGGTTCATCCTTGATATATCTGGGTTGAACCTGTTCATTCCTTGCCCCCTCATTTTGGATAACCACTTTTGCCCAGGTCTTACTCATTCTCGAGCTAGGCACTTGGATTACCTCCTTGGACCTCCAGGATGCATACTAGCATGTGCTGTTCCATCCAAGGTTCAGAAATTGTTCAGGCTTTGTGGTGTGGTGGCAGGCTTTCCACTTTCAGATTCTCCCGGTTGGACTCAATAAGCCTCATCGTATCTTTACGTGTTTGCCTCGAGTCGTGGTGACCCGTTTTCTTCTGCTGGGTGTTCGGGTGTTTGCCTTCCTCAATAACTGGCTGGTGTGGCCTCCCAGTCAGTCCGCATGTCTGCTTGCCAGGAATCTGGTTCTTTCGCAGCTCGCCAGGTTTGGGTTCCTGGTGGATTGGTAGAAGTCCCAGTCGGTTCCGTGCCAGGTTCAGACTAGGTTGGAACAATCAATCGGCATCACTTTCTCTGCCTCCAGTGGCCTTGCTACACCTACAGTGTTGCCATCTCTTAGTGTTGAGTGGGCGCTGGGTGGATCAGCAGTTGCTCGAGCAGTTGTTGCGTGAGTGCCTGAACTCCTTGTTTTTTCTCTGGGCAGGGTTTAGCTTCACAGGCTGTTTTGATTCTTTGGGACAGCCCCTTTTGTTGCTCTCACAACGCTGGGTGCGAACACTGGGAGCCTCTGTGCAGGTTGCTGCACTGCTGGCTTCCTCTTCAGGTTTTTTACCTGGCCTCTCTAAGAGAGGCACAAGGAGCAATGGTCTATAGAAATGCACATGTGGTTATGGAGCATTCTATGTCTACCATCTACCGGGTTAGGCACCCAAAAAGGTAAGTGACCCAAAACAAACCCCTATTCTGGTTGAAACTACTACTGAAAGTCAAACGAGTGGACAGAACTCCCAAAATGAAAATGAGCAAATGAGCATGACATCACCATGTCACCGTGCCGCTTGTCTGCACAACCTCCCTCATCCCCCTCCCCGGAAGGGAGAAGGGGGAGCCCCAGACTCTCACGGCAGCGATCTACCCTGCAGTTCTTTGGCTGATGTGATCGGCAACGGTCATGTGACTCTGGCTCCAGATTTCTGTCCTTAGTTCTGTGCCTTGTGGTGTTGAGCGGTTTCTCTGGTGGTGCGCGAGCCAGGAGTTATCTCACAAGTACGCAGGCTGCATGCGTCATCATGTCGCAAATGGCAACATGATGACGTCATGCTCCTTTACTAATTTTCATTTGGAAAGTTCCATCCACACGTTCGGCTTTCAGTAGCAATAGTTTCACCAGAATAGGGGTTTGTTTTGGGATGCCTACCTTTCTGGGTGCCAAACCCGGTCGATGGCAGACATAGAATGCTCCCAACCACACACAGGGGCTTCTATAGGCCATTGCTCCTTGTGCCTCTCTTGAGGGAGGCCAGGTTCTGACTCATGGTCCCCAGTAGGCAAGAACTCCGAGCACATGGACTTGTGATCCTGTGGTCCCGGGTTCGATCCCGGGCGCCGGCGAGAAACAATGGCCAGAGTTTCTTTCACCCTATGCCCCTGTTACCTAGCAGTAAATAGGTACCTGGGTGGTCAGATACCCAGGTACCAGGTCAGATAAATAGGTCAGCTGTCACGGGCTGCTTCCTGGGGGTGGAGGCCTGGTCGAGGACCGGGCCGCGGGGACACTAAAGCCCCGAAATCATCTCAAGATATAACATCTCAAGAACAATGACTGATGCCAGAAAGTTATACATACCCACTCAGCCTGGATAGCTCCAGGGAGCTTCCGGGACTCGCCCAGAAAATGGCGTTTCATTACATTCAATGCTGATTTTTAATGGGTCTAAAACGAAAATATGTATGTATGTAGCATTGTTCTTGGGGCTAATCATTACTAGAGGGGAGCTACCTAAATTAGTTTGAAAACAATAGATGTCTAAAAGACTTTCAATAATGGTATTCATTCTCACAGGATTCTTGTCCACATGGAAAATTGCGCTGCAACGATGGGCAGTGTATCTTCCCCAGTTGGCGGTGTGATGGGGAGGAGGACTGTGGTGATGGGAGCGATGAAAGGAACTGCACAAAGGTTATAACTTTACTACGCATTCAAATTTAGTGCAAATAATACAGTAGATAAATTCACTGTTTTGTGCTGATATCCCAGTTAGTTAGTTGTGATTACTTGTGTGTGTTCTGCTGTTATAGATGTACAGTTCAAAAATTTATGTTCATTACTCATTACTAGGGTATTATTTCTGGGGAACTCCTTGTGACTAAAAGACTTATAATAGTGGTGTTTATTCTCACAGGATTCTTGTCCAAGTGGAGAATTCCGCTGCGGCGATGGGAAGTGTATCTTGCCCAGTTGGCAGTGTGATGGGGAGAAGGACTGTGGTGATGGAAGTGATGAAAGGAACTGCACAAAGGTTATAACTTTACTACACATTCAAATCTAGTGCAAATAATACAATAGATAAATTCACTGTTTTGTGCTGACAGCCCAGTTAGATAATTGTGATTACTTGTTGCTGCTCTGTTGTTATAGACGCACAGTACAAAAATTTATGTTCATACATTCATTACACATTACTAGGGTATTATATCTGGGTAGCCCATTGTGGCTCACTGAAGCTATCTTGCTGAGATGGCTCCCAACTACTAGAGCGCATCAACAGTGGAGTTCAGTTCGACCTACCGGGGACCAGAGGTAGAACCTGGCCCCCTCACAAGAAGCAAAGGGAACAGGTGACACTCTGCCACCTCGCCATGGAAGGCACCCAGAAATTCTGCAAACGAATGCAAACTATTGTTGGGTTCAAGAGAGACTGAATGAACTCTTCGCCAGCAACACAGCCTGTCCTCATAAACAAAGGCCAAAGTCCATTCCATGCATCCACCAAACTCCATTTATAATTGAAAAATGGTTTACACATGAAACAACTGATGATGTTTGAACACTCCTCGAACAAGTGCTTTGATGATGACCTTTGTTCAAACCATAACACTGTAAATGCTTCACCACATACAACTGCAAATAAACGGCAACAGAACCTAAACACCTAACCTAACCAATGCCTAAATATACACGTTGTGCTAATGTATAACAATATTAATTTCTAGTTAAGGAAATCTATATTTTGAATGAACAGCATGTTAAAATTTATTAATGAGTCTTTTGGGTCGACCGCTGGATGGAATGGACATGGTCTAAGGATGGGTTGCTGTCTGGCTGCCTTTCCTAGCAAAGTGGTGGAGTGTTACTTGCTCCCTGTGCCTCATGTGAGGGGGGTGGGGGCCAAGTTCTGGCTCTGGTCCTCGGTAAGCCAAACTGAACTCCACGGCTGATGCGATTTAGTAGTTGAAGCCATCTCAGCGAGATGACCTCAAGGAACCACTGGAGATTGCCCAGAAATTAGCATTCATTACATTCAGCACCGTTTTCTGTGGAGAGCCCCTTCGGCTCCCCAGAGCTATACCGGTGTGATGTGTACATATTAGACCATTGCAGTCTGTGTTTACCATCTACCAGTTCAGGCATCCAAAATGAGCAGATGGGTTTCTCGCCTGTTTCCAGTTCCGAAACAGGACTGTGAGGACGTGCGGTTCATTCTGAACTTGTCCCGTCTGAACCCCTGGGTCTTTTGCCCCTCCTTTCAGATGACCACTCTGTCCCAGGTCCAGCTTCCTTTGGAACTGGATGCTTGGATGGTGTCTCAGGACCTTCGGGACGCGTATTGACACATCCCGATTCATCCGGGGTTCAGGGACTGGCTCGGTTTTGTCGTGGGATGGCACGCTTACCGCTTTCGTTGCCTTCCATTCAGCTTGCATCTGGCCCCTCACGTTCCTCACGTCTTACACGGGTCATGGTGACCCGTTTCAGTCTGTTAGGGGTTTGAGTTCTGGCTTACTTTGACTGGGTGGTCTAGGCTCCTAGCCTGTCTGTGTGTCTGCTCGCCAGGGATTTGGTTCTTTCCCAGCTCGCCGGATTCGGGTTCTTGGTGAACTGGAGGAAGTCCCATTTGGTTCCCTCTCAGGTTTGGGCTTGGCTGGGTCTTGTATGGAACTCTCGGACTGCTTCCTTCTCTCCCTCCCACGGCGTTGCTGTGGCTGCAGTCCTGCATTTGGCTGTTTTTGGGGGGGCTCCTGGGTCACTTGTCAATTGCTCAAGCAGCTGTGCGGGAGTCTGAACTTCGCTGTGCTGGTCTACCCATCGGGTCGGATCTGACTTCAGTGGCTGTTCTAGTTCCTTTAGGGACGTCCCTTCTGCTGCTCTCGCAATTGCTGGGTTCTGGTCCTGATGGCCTAGCATCGGCTGCTGCGTTGCCAGCTTCCTCTTCAGGCTTTTCGGGGTTCAGTGTCGTGGCGCCTACCCGAGCCCTCGCTCGATTTGTTCACAGATGCATCATCTCTCGGCTGGGGCTTTGTGACCAGTGCTCACCAAGCCGGCCAGTGTCGGTGGGGTCCATCTCTCAGTTGGGTTCACAGCACGGTGCGGGCTGGCTGCTTCGGCTGACTCGTCTGCTGAGTTCTTGGGGTTTGGTACTTCTGGAGGTTTATATCCAAGGAGTGTCCAACGTCCTGGTGGACAGCTTGTCCCATTTCATTCCCCTGTCTAGGAAATGTATGGTTGACGCCGACTTATTCCGTTGGCTCTGCCAGACATTCGGGCGCCCGGAGGTGGACCTCTTCGCATCGGCCTGGTTGAGGCGTCTTCCGGTATATGCTCGGTGTCCGAACCCGAGAGTCTTCCCGCAGCTCCGCCTCTTTCAGCAGATCGGTCTGGTCTGGTACATGGCTGGTTTAATCTTCTCCTCCGATCTTCACGTCTGGCCTTAAAGACGGGGTTTATCACCACTTGTATGGTGATCGGGTGGCTTTGTTGATGGTATCTCACCTGAGAGTTTTGTCTCAGCAGCAGTATAAAGTTTCCCTGCAGTCATTTCGGCATGTCTTGAATCTTCGTAGGTTGTCTTCGATTTCTGATTGGGTTCTTTTGTCCTTTATCTCTTGGTTATTTCAGGACCATCAACTTATGCCAAATACTGTTGCCTCGTATCATGTGGCGCTGGCGGAGCCGTTTCAGCATGCGTTCGGTGTGGATGTCACTTCTGTTCTGTTCTGCAAGCTTTCTCGGATGTTGTTTTGCCTCCGGCCTGTTCATGCGCTGCCTGAGCTGTCCTGGTCGTTGGACCGGGTGCTCTCTTTTCTCTCTTCTCCTCAGTTTGTGGTGGCCCCTTTGGTTTAGGTTTGTTTTTCTAAGTTTCTTTTCTTGTTGGCATTGGCCTCTGGGGGTCTGGTCGGGGAGCTTCATGCTCTCCTCTAGTGCAGGGGTTTCTACTTTTTCGATTCTGGTGGTCGTTTTGTTCGTTTGCAGCCGTCTCCTTTTTTGGCAAAGAATGAGACTGCTGCTTTCCGTAGGGATCCTTGGGTTGTTGGTGCTTGGTTGGTTCGGCCAGGGGTGCATCATGTTTTGTGTCCAGTTGCAGCTCTTTGCCGTTAATTGAGCGCCACAACCTCCGTGGCAGGGGACGTGCTTTGGGTTGACCCGGTTTTCCTTCTTCCCTGTTCCAGGGCGTGGGTCTTTAAGGTTGTCCACAGGATTATTCAGTCCAGCCAGCCTGCGGTCTATCTCTGTGCCCATGAAGTTCGTAGGTTCGTTCCCTGTCCTTATCTGACATTCGGGCACGGGGCTTTTGAAAGTCAAACAGGGTCCTGGCCACATGGTACTTCGATAATGTTCCTGCTCACTACACAAGCTCTTCTCGGGCTCAGGTTCTGGCTCGTGGTCCCCGGTAGGCCTAGAACTCCATTGATTGACTGTTGCCACAGTCTAATACGGCATGTATATTGTATTCACATCAACCCAGTACAGCTCCGGAGACCTCCAGGTCTCAACTAGAAAATGGCGTTTCATTACATTCGGTGCTGGTTTTTTTAGCACTAAATGTTCATTTATGTGTTCTCATGTAGTTGCTGAGAAAGGAATGAGTGCTTTTGTTTTTGTACTGTATTACAGTATTGTCCCAAACAAATTATTTAATATAATTATCATTGAGATTGTGCTATGATCATAATCTCTGTCTGAGCATTTTTGGCTCATTTTGAGAAGTAAAGAATGTTGAAATTTGGACAGATAATCAGTACTTGCTGCTTTTCTTGAAAACCTTTACTAAATTTCATAGTAAGCTTCCATATTTTAGTAATTAATAAAATTGATGTTAAAGTGCTGAATGCAATTTGTGTGCTTTTTGTCCAAAGAGTGATCTCTTCACTGATTAAGTAGCTCAAATATACATCAAAATATTCAGTTAATTAACATGTTTTAAATACATTTAATTAGGAATGTAGTGAAGCTGAATTTCGATGCATAGGGGATGAAAAGTGCATCCCCGAAGATAAAGTGTGCGATGGTATTGATGACTGTGGGGATGACAGCGATGAAGCTCGCTGCCCCAGCCAACCAGACCCACCAACTACTACAGTGTTACCAGAGACCACATCATCTTCATCTACTGAAGTGAGCTTAGTTTTTAAACAAAAATGCTTTTTTTTTAATGTACTGTAGTTGCTGATAAATGACTTAATTAAGAAAGGGACAACAGGTAAGGATGTTTTCTCCTAACACTCAAAGATGTCTTGTGGAAAATACTGAACATCCTTTTACCAAGTCGGCTCATAATATGGGAACTGTTTCAATGAATGATTTAGTGGAAAATAAAGATGTTCGATATGCAGACAATAAGTCACAATAATGTGGCTAAAGATATGAAGACTAAATCAAACACCGGAAGATGAGGAGACAAAGGCATTTCAGTCCATCCTGGACCATTATCAGGTCGATGAAGATGTTCTACATGGGCTTAATAGAAGAGGGCTCTTGGAAATAATTTGATCTTGCACTCCCAATTGGATTTGGTATGGATAGATTCCTTCAAGGTAATCTACACAGCATTTGTTAGACCAATACCGGAATATGCAGCACCATCATGGAATCCATACTTTGTGAAGCATAAACCTAAAACTAAAACTATGCAGAAATTTGAGCTAAGCTAAAAGTGAGCTAAAAATGCCAGAGCTAAGAGGGCTTAGCTATGGGGTATAAGCTAATGGAACTAAATCTCACAACACTAGAGGACAGAAGAAACAGAGGGGGGATATGATAACATACAAGATACTGAGGGGGAATAGACAAGGTGGACAAGGACAGCCTTTCTAAATTAAGAGAAAGAAGCACAAGAAGACATAAGCAAAAGCTGGAAACACAAATTGAATTGAACAAATGTAAGGAAATAATTGTACCGTGTATGGGTACAATGTGGAATGCACTGAAAGAAGTAGAAGTCACCTCCATCCACAACTTTAAAGCTAGATTTCACAAAAAAATTGAACATTAGGATATGTAAATTAAAATGCAACAGGTACAAGAAGGCTAGTAAAAGGGGGGGGGGGTATACAAGGCCCCCTTTGCCCAGTATATGTATATAAGGCTGGGAGTGTTGGCCTCACTCCCTCAGACACTAATAGAAGGTGTCTGAGGGGGGTGAGTACAAATAGTTCTGTCTCTGCATCAAATGGCAGCAATCCATATCAGAAAAAAGCAAAACCCTTCAGCAAAGGTAACTGGAGTATCATCTGAATAGTGAGACCAAACATAACCAAAGAATTTTGGGGACAGGTCCATAAGGCACTGTTCTATTTGTATTCAGGTTCTACTTGTATATAGGTCTACTTGTATATAGGTCTACTTGTATACAGGTGCTGCTCAATCTGTACAAAGGACAGTGAAAATATTAGTGCAACTCTCACAAATTCAGTATTATTTTGAATGCAAATAGTACAGCACTTTATGGGATTGTATTAAAAAATGTCCAGCATACCATTCGCCTATATCCAATACTGCAGTTGCCCATAGGTCTATATCTAAATAATCCAACGTTTGACATGTCAACAATCCTTAGGTCAGATAGTCATTGTTAAACCAATTCTCCAACTACTCTAGGGATTGTGCAGTAATATCTGTAATACGGTTCACTCTCAAATCTGTATCTGTAATATGGTTCACTCTGCATGAAGCCTTATTGATGGCAGACTAGGCTATACAAATATATAATTTTAGAGCTTATGCACTGTAGGGTTTTAACGTCTAGTCTGACCAGTTCGCCTCATTTGACTGCTGTCAGTCCTGAGGTGGTGGGACTGTGGGTTGGTTTGTCTATTAACTATTCAATTGTGAAACAGAGACAGTTTCTTTGTCCAAGGTTGGAGACCAGACACTTTGGGCTAACCTCACCCAACTTTGCAGGGGGACTGGTCTGGGGAGGGGGTAAGGTGACATTGTGACAGGGAAGAGGAGGGGAAAATGGGGGAGATGTAGATGAAAGAGAAGAGGGGGGAGATGTAGATGAAAGAGAAGAGGAGGGAGATGGAGATAAAAGAGAAGAGGGGGGTGATGGAGATAAAAGAGAAGAGGGGGGAGATGGAGATAAAAGAGAACGGGGGAGCAGTTGAGAGTAAATAAGTGGGTTATTATTCCTCATTATGGAATAATAACCCACTGTTTTGAAAACACAAGAAATTTAGACTGGATACTGTATTTTGATTTCAAGCCCGGAAGAGGGTGCTGGTTTGTGATCGAAATATCCGGTCTACATTTCTTGTGTTGTCTAAATTCAGTAGTAGGTTATTTTTTCATAATGAGGAATAATAGCCCACTTCTCTATCCTTCTTCTATATACTGTATACATATACAGTACAGTACATATATACTGTATATGTATATATGCTGTATGAAATATTACCGTATTTATTTCTTATCCATTTTTTTTTTTTTGAGAAAGTGTACAGAGGACGAATTTTCTTGCTCAGTGGCTGGACATTGTGTGGACCTTTCTTGGCATTGTGATGGTGACCGTGATTGTCCTGATGGGAGTGATGAATCTGAATGTCCTGAGGTATGCTTCTTTCTGATACATACTGAATTAATAAATTCTGTTTCCGTTTTGTGAAATCCATGTTAGATATAATAAACATTTCTCTAATAACTGGAATCATGATGGGGGGCCGGTTCACATTCTTCACTGGTCCTTTGGTGCAGTGGTCTACGTCGTTGATTCACAATTGTGGATCCTGGGTTCGATTCCCAGATGGGGTAGCGATGATTTGACACATTTCCTTTCACCTGGTGTTGGGTTCACCTAGCAGTAAGTAGGTTATCATAAGTTAGTCAATTGTTGTGGGTTGCATCCTGAGGAAGGTCAGCAGTTGACATAGTGACAGCTCAATAAGCTCTCACTGTCCTGAAGAACAGGCTTCCTGTCCCTAACAACAGGGCTTCCAGCCCTGTTGTTAGGGACAACAACAGGGCTAGAAGCCCTGCTTCTAAGATATAGAAGACAGCTTCTATATCTTAGCACTTAATAGTGCTTCTAAGATATAGGTGGCATTACAACATCTGCCAGGAGGTGCTCCCTCTACCAATTGGCTTACGTAACCTCTGGTCGCCTCGCCTCATGTTTTCGGGACATGTCTCTCACGGCGATAACAGTTTGGTCAAGCCTGGTCATCGCCTGCTGTTGGTCAGGGTAGGTCATCCTTGGAGCCAGAAGCTGGGTTGCACATGCCTCCCACAGCTGCTTTTTCTTTGTCTGGTCGGCGCCGTGATCGCTCTGTTCGGAAGGCTCCTCACTGGGTTCACACCAGCCCTTTACGGGTTGCCCATTGGCGGCGCAGTTAGGGGGTCTTTGCCATGATGGTCTACCTACCAGGTCTGCTCTTTGGGTCCTGGTAGTTGTTCTGTTTATTTGCAGCTGTGGCCTTTTCTGTCGATGTATGAGACTGCTGCTTTCCGGAGGGATCCCTAGATTGTTGATGCTTGGTTGGTCTAGCCAGGGGTGCATCATTTGTTATGTCCATATCCAGTTGCGTCTCTGCCGTTTCCTGAGCATCACGGCCTTGGTGGCCAGGGACGTGCTTTGGGTTGACCGGGTTCCCTTCTTCCCTGTTCCAGGGTTCGGTTCTTTGGTTCTTTTTGGTTCTTCTTTGACCAGGTTCTTTCTTTGGTTCAGGATTGCTTTCTGAAAGCAGTGTTTTTGCTTCCTCTTGTTTCTGGTTGTTGAGTGGGGGAGCTTTGTGCTCTCCTTTGGTTCCAGGGCTTTTGTTTTTTTGGCCCTGATGGCCGTTTTGTTGATTTGATGCCGGCTCCTTTGCTGATGGAGGTTGAGCCAGTTGGCTTTCAGGGCCATCATCCTCTGGTGGTGGATGTTTGGTTGCTTATGGCTAGGGGTGAGTCATGCCTCCATTTCTGCTTCAGTGGCCTCCTTGTGTGTTGATCTGGTTCCCCTTGTTCCCTGTTCAAGGGCTTGTGTTTCTCAGGTGCCTCCCTCCGTGCCCACGATTTGCGTCGGTATGCCGCTTCGACAAATTTTGCTATTTTTCTTGAGCTACTCTTCAGGCATGGAGTTTTGGTGGTCGGGTTTCTTCTTCATCTTGGTATCTCCAATACTTCCTCATACCTGGTTGATGCCCTTTTTCCTTCTATGTGGGGTAGATAGCTTCAGAGAGCCACAAAGGGCTTTTCCCAGAAAACCAGTGTTGAATGAAATGAAACACGAATTTCTAGATGAGCTCCGGTGGCTCCTTGATATCCCCCCTCTCCTAGGGCATCGGATTGTTTCCATCTTAAGAACTGGTGGAACGAACTTGGTCTGCCTCCCTCTTTTCCTCTAAACGAGAGGGGGAGGGGCCAAACAAGCTCATGCTATTTTCACAAATTTCTAATCATTTGTTTACATTATTAAGGGAGTTCTTTTGGCTGCTTTGAGGCTGTGGTCTCATCAGAAATCTGGCATCAGTGGTCAGTTTTGTTTCATCGAGTGCCTTTCCTTAGTGGTGTCAGACATGAATAAATTTCCATAAATATTTTTCATAACGCTACTCTTCACCGCACGTCACTGATTGGGCCAGGTTCTGGCTCATGGTCCCCAGTAGGCCAATAAGATCTCTGCTACTGTTGGTATTTTAAAGTCAAACACTATATCAGTATAGTAGCTTCAGGGAGTGACTGGGGATCACCCAGAAATTGGTGTTTCGTTACATTTAATGCTGATTTTATCACTATCCGAGAATAGCTTAACTGATTTTAATAAAAAGTGCTCAATGATTCTCCCTTCAAGTGGCACCCAAGACACGTGCCACACCCTAGACAGGCCACTTCTCTAAGTGGATAGAGTGGTTGATTGTTTTTATAGGTGCACCTCCAAAATCTGGATTATATTTACCTCAATTTAACTGAGGGCCACTAATACTAGTGGCCTCGACGAGGACAGGAAACTGGCGGCTTGTCAAAGATCCCCCTCATTTGCCCTGATGATCTTTTCTATCTGTAGTTTAAATCCCAGCAGTCTTTTGGCGTTTATGTTTCCGTACTCATTCATAGGTTTGTGACATTTGGATTTCCAGCTGTTTTTTAATGGGTCTAAAAAGATGTTAAAATATGTATGTATGTAACATTGTTCTTGGGGCTAATCTTTACTAAAGGGGAGCTACCTAAATTAGTTTTGAGAACAATAGATGTCTAAATTACTTAACATAATTGTGTTTATTCTCACAGGATACTTGTCCACACGGAAAATTCCGTTGCAACAATGGCGAGTGTATCATGCCCAGTCGACGGTGTGATTGGGAGGCGGAGGACTGTAGTGATGGGAGTGATGAATGGAACTGCACAAAGGTTATAACTTTATTAACAGTTAAATCTAGTGCAAATAATACAGTAGATAAATTCACTGTTTTGTGCTGACAGCCCAGTTAGTTGTGATTACTTGTGTGTGTTCTGCTGTTATAGACGTACAGTACAAAAATTTATGTTCATACGTTCATTACACATTACTAGAGTATTATATCTGGGTAGCCCCTTGTGGCTCACTGAAGCTATCTTGCTGAGATGGCTCCCAACTACTAGAGCGCATCAACAGTGGAGTTCAATTTGGCCTACCGGGGACCAGAGCTAGAACCTGGCCCCCTCACAAGAAGCAAAGGGAACAGGTGACTCTGCCACCTCACCATGGAAGGCACTCAGAAATTCTGCAAACGAATGCAAACTACTGTGGGGTCAAGAGAGACTGAAGCTTCAGGGTCCGTCTAATTACCACAAGCTTCACAAAGCTTCCTGGCAATACGTTAGTAATGAATAAATATATGTTAGGTTAGGCTGACCTGACCTGACCTGACCTGACCTGACCTGACCTGACCTGACCTGACCAAATCTAACCAAACCCAACCAAACCCAACCAAACCACACCACACCACATCTAACCTAACCTAACCGACGGTTGGATCGTCGACTTGATTTGGCGTCACCAGCTCTTTATTTTCGTCAAATTTCTTTATAAAAAGATACTTTTTCAGATTAAAATTATGTTTTTTCGTGTTGTACATTCAGCACCAACATTATAATGAGTAAATATATCATATATATTCATTACTAACGTATTGCCAGGAAGCTTTGTGAAGCTTGTGTAGCTTGAGGTAGCTTGTGGTAATTAGATGGACCGAAGCTTCACAATATGCTGAATGAACTCTTTGCCAGCAATGCAGCCTGTCCTCATAAACAAAGGCCAAAGTCCATTCCATGCATTTCCCCACCCCCTCCAAACCCCACTTTTAATTGAAAAGTGGTTTACGTGTGAAACACAACTGATGACGTTCGAACATTTCTTGAATAAGTGCTTCGCTGATGCAGCCCGTCCTCTAAACAAAGATCCAAAGTTCATTCCATACACCTGCCATACCCCCTGTTTATGAATGAAAAATGAATGAAGATTTACACACTGCTCACAACTGATGACATTCGAACGCTAACAAAACAAGTGCTTCACTGACAAATTTTGTTCGATACACAACACTGTAAATGCTTCACCCACATACTATAAATACAAATAATCGCAAACAGAACCTAAAACCTAACCTAACTTAACCTAACCTAACCTAACCTAACTTAACTTAACTTAAGCTAACCAATGCCTAAATATGCACAGGATGCAAATATATAATAATAATAATATTAATTTATATTTGAGAAAATTCCTGTTTTGAATGACGAGCAGGATAAAATATATGAATGCGTCTTTAGGGTCGACTGCTGGATGAAATGGACTTGATCTGAGGACGGGTTGCTGTCTGGTGCCTTTCCTAGCGAGGTGGAGTGTTACTTGCTCCCTGTGCCTCATGTGAGGAGCTAGGTTCTGACTTTGGTCCACAATAAGCCAAACTGAACTCCACAGCTGATGTGATTTAGTAGTTGGGTGCCATCTCAGCAAGGTAGCTTCAGGAAACCAGCAAAGATTGCCCAGAAATTGGCATTTCATTACATTCTGCACTTTTTTTTTTTTTAGTCCTAAATGTACATTTGTGTGTTCTCATGTAGTTGCTGGGAGAGGAATGAGTGCTTTTGTGTGTGTACTGTATTACAATATTGTCCCTCCAAAATTGTTTAACATAATTATCATTAAGATTGCTCTATGATCATAATCTCTGTATGAGGATTTTTGGCTCATTGTAAATAGTAAAGAATGTTGAAATTAAAATAAAAATAAAAAATAAAATGACCCGACCAGGATTCGAACCCATGCTGGCCAGGATCACCCTTAAATGTACATGGTACTGTGACCATCTCGCCAATAATAGTTTCATTGTTGAATTCATATACATGTATATGTATACATGTATATACATATACAGTACATGTACATTTGAATACATATACATATATGCTGTATGAAATATTACTCTATTTTATATCAATTTTTTTCAGAGAGAGTGTACAGAGAAGGAATTTTTGTGCTCGAAGGGAGGGATTTGTGTGCCAGCTTCTTGGCGGTGTGATGGTGACCATGATTGTCCTGATGGGAGTGATGAATATAGATGTCCTAAGGTATGCTCCTTTCTGATACATACTGAATTAATAAATTCTGTTTCTGTTTTGTGAAAGGCCTGTTGATATAATAATAATAATAATAATAATAATAATAATAACAATAATAATAATAAGAACTTTGTTTACAAAAAGGTACAATGGGTTTGGGAGATTACATATGATTGGTCTTTTACACTCTTGCACAGCCACCAACACACACAGCATTTCGGGCATAGTGAAACACATGGCGTTTTGAATGTTTATATAATAAACTGCTGCAGGTTTATATGGTTTATATAATAAATTGCAGCAGGTTTATATAATAAACTACTTTTTCTTAAGTATAAACTTAAGAAAATTGTGATTCCATCTGTTCTATTCAAAATGACATTCTGCTCCTCTGTTGCAATTGCTGCTGTTAATTCAACGTGTAATTATTGTCATTCTTTCTTCTACTTCAGTTCAATTCATGCTTTTTGATCTCAATTAGTCTTAAGTCTTAGTTTTTTATTTTTATTTTCCACATCTTGCCTGAAACACTGTACATATTAGTGACTTTAAGCATTGTATATACTAGCTCTATCTAGAAATCCAACATTCTGCTTATAACTCAATATGTATGAATGTACTTTTGCCTAAATACAAATTTATTTACATATTTATAACCATCTCTCTAATTACTGGTATCATGATGGGGGCCGAGTTACATTCTGCACTGGTCCTGTAGTACAGTGGTCTACATCCTTGATTCACAATTGTAGATCCTGGGTTCAATTCCCAGGTAGGGTAGCAATGATTTGACACATTTCCTTTCACAGAGCTCAATAAGCTGTCACTGTCCCGAAGAATAGGCTTCCTGTTCCAAACAACAGAGCTTAGTGCTTCCAAGACATAGTTGGCATCACAGTGACTGCCAGGAGGTGCTCCCTCTAACTACCAATTGGTTTATATAACCTCTGGTCTCGATAGCCACCAGATGGCAGCACTTGCAATAACACAAGGGCCAGGAGTCATCAAGCATTTACACAACCACTTACCTAATATATACATCTTTCCTCAATCATGACTGCTTTGTTTACCGTTATTAGACAGTTTATGATCAAAACACTATGAGGCTACAATATACTATAATATATATATATATATATATATATATATATATATATATATATATATATATATATATATATATATATATATATATATATATATATATATATATATATATATATATATATATATATATATATATATATATATATATATATATCTATCTCTCTATATCTATCTATCTATCTATCTATATCTATCTATCACACACATATAAAAACACAGTATATACAGTAATATATACAGTATATTTTTTTTTACCACATTTTTCCAATCGGAGTATGACAGAGTACTGGGAAGATGGGACACCACGAGCGTAGCTCTCATCCTGTGACTACACTTAGGTAATTACACACATACATACATATATACGTACTGTATAGTATATGCATCCTTTTGTTTTCATTTGATACACAAAAGACTTGTTTTTTCTGTTTAACTTGTAGGGAGTTGTATGCAGCTTGCAGCGCGGTCAGTATAGGTGCCAGGACAGTGAAAATTGTCTTAGTGATGACCAAGTGTGTGACGGCTCACCAGACTGTGATAATGGCAGTGATGAGGGCCCCGACTGTGGTTAGTACTGGCACTTTCGTAAAGCTGTGTTCATCATATATCAACTTTGTTGGATGTAGTGTTTTAGTACTTACTGAAGTGGAACTTTGAGCCTCAGCATAGGTGGGTCTTTATACCCCACCTAGTGCTTGTATAACTGCTAGGCTCTCATGACTTTCCTCCCCCCGTTGTATAAGGTATTGTGTACTCAAGAGAGAGACGGTGGCATGTCTAACTTGAATGAGCCATGAACAACCAGGATGCTATGATACAAAGCAACAAATCATAACCCTTAAGGGCTCCATGCAAATGAGAATTAATTGTAGGCTGTGTGAGGCCGACGCTCTATCAACTTGGCTATGAGCAGTCTTAAAAGGAAAGGAAAGTGGACCCTCACACATGTGGGGTCCACGGTTTGAAACCCATACAGCCCAGGTGAATGGAATGTTAATTTCCACAGAAGTGTGGATGGCAATATACACTGACTGTCTTTCTATCACAGCTGTCATCGCGACACGGCCATATATGGGCTGTATACGGACTATATTGAAAATACTTAGTCTGGTATTTTCAATGCAGGGACTGAATACAGTATATTGTCTAAACTAGGTACTGTATTTCTAACATGACTGAATACAGTGCATGTTCTTAGCTTGGTGTTCTCAACACAGAAGCTGACTACAGCACATGGTCAAATAAAATATGAGTGTAACTTGTTCACAAGGCTTGCATTTCAGAACACTCGTGCTCAGAGACAGAGTGCAGCCATGGCTGCTTTATGACTCCAAAAGGACATCAGTGTACCTGCCCTCTCAACCTCACCCTTGACCACTCCAATACTACATGTATGGGTAAGTCTCAGAAAAAGTGGAGAGAGATAGAGACAATGACAATTAAACTTATCTAAGGTCTTATTTGTTAAAAAGAATATAGCTACAGTACTATATTTTCCAGTTCAAACATTGGTAATATACTGATTTTTATAAAACTAATAATAATAGCAAACTTTTTTTGTCTACTACAAGATTTCTTATATTTCTTACATTCTTGTACAGCCATTAGCACGCATAGCACTTTGGGCAAGTCCTTAATCCTAATTTTAACACACACATCCCTAGGAAACAGCCTGTAGCAGCTGTCTAACTCCCAGGTACCTATTTACTGCTAGGTGAACAGGTGCATCAGGGTGAAAGAAACTTTGACCATTTGTTTTCGCCTCCGCCGGGGATCGAACCTGGACCCTTAGGACTGTGTACCTCGAGCGCTGTCCACTCGGCCATCAGGCCCCTGGCTAATTATTAAATTGGAATACTAAATTGTATTCAAACAATTTGGTAAACATTTTCTAATGATCTTTACAAAATGAATTTTGAATCTTTGAACTAGGATCTAGAAATTAAGGGATAAAGATTCTCATAGGAAAAACAAATTTCACAAATTTCAGGTGGCCTACCATCAGCCTTTGTGTTAGTGGGACTACGAAATACGTTAGAAGCGTATTCTCTTGGTGGCCCCAGTTCTTTCACTGTCTATGAGGGGAAGAGCAAGACTTCTACTGGGGTAAGCTCTGCTTCTTTGTAAACCATAATACTAAAGCGTGTTGTAAAGTTTTGTTACATATACTTATTGTAGTTGTATTTTATAATATCATTTATAACTACTGTATATGCACTCCAGTATTTTATATTTTAATTTGTTATTGGAAGTGCATAATATTGTTTATGTAAGCGAGTGTAAATTGTTTAACTGTAGCTGCTGGAAGAGAGCTAAGCTCATGCTTGGCTCTCTTTCATCCCATCTTCCTTATATTGTTTATCTTGTAGTTTCCAAGGTTTCCAAGGTTTCATCTGGCCACCAGATGCTCTAATTTGATGATTTAATTTGATACTCGGTGCTCTATTTTTTAAACATCCAAGTTTCCAAGGTTTCTTGTAGTTTCTCCACAGGCCACCGAACTTTCAACCCTCCTCTCTCCCTATACCCACATCCTCTTCCAGAATTTCACCTCCCCATCCCTCTACCTCCCCCATCCTTTCCAAACCCTTTGGACATCAAAGCTAAGCTTCTAATTGTGTTGGCACACACTAATTTGTTAATTTTTTCCACCTCCAAAAAATTATTAAAAAATTACATAGTCCTACCCTCAGTTTTGCCTTGTACGGCTTCTGATCAATAGATTTGATGTTAAAATTCCTCCTTACGACAATCTCTCTAAAAGATCTTGCTGTTAATGCCGTCTTTCTCTGGCCATGGGAAATTGTCGACAAACTCCCTACCTTGCATTGGTTTCCAACTGTTTTGTTTGATAGCAGTGATCGATTGGTGCAGCTTCAGCCTCCTTCATTTCTTGATAAGAATGAGTCTTCTACATTTTGTTCTGGTTCCAAGTTTAGTGCAGACTTTTTTATTTGACCTGCAGTTATTCAAGCCCTTTATTCTGTGGTGGCTTTATGCAGGTATCTTTTATAAGCAATTCTTCAAGCTTTGTGCTGTTTCTTGGAGAATCCTTGCACATTAGTTCCTCTCTTCCATCTCCTTTGCAGAGTGGTGAGGCCTTAGTCAGCCTCATGCTGTCCCTGTATCCATGATTTCAAAATGTATGATAAGCCAATAGCCTTCTTTTCTGCCATGTCCTACTCAGATATTAGGCCCCTGTGGGTTCTGGAGGTCAAATAATTTATTCTGCCATTAGGTACCTTTTGCATCCCAGATGGTGGTGGTGTATTGTCATGGGCTCTCTCTTCTTCACATGATTCCAGTTCAGCATTTCTAGAGGCTATGTTCTGTCTAATGTTTGTTCTTTAGAGTGGTAGTCTTCCGGTGGTGATTTGAATTAAATTTACCACTGTTTTCCTTCCTCACTTATGTGACACAACCATGTTATTGGTCATGCTGGCTGAGCAGGAGGTCATTAGAGCCTGGTGGGTGGAGAGTGTGTGCATGCGTGTGTGTTAACTCCTAAGGGACCTCAGACTCAAGGATGCATCTGGTGGCCAGGCTCAGAAATGAGCATTCAATTTGATACTCGGTGCTCTATTTTTAAAACATCCATTGACAGATCATAGGTGTAGAATATGACCCAATCAAAGACTTGGTGTACTGGAGTAAGAAGGAATATGGCGGAGTGTATCGTAAAGACCTTCATGCACTCGAGTTACCCAAGTTGATTTATGATACAGGTAAGATGAAAATAATTATAGCTCACATTTAAAAAGTATAATAGCTGATTTGTTAGAGAAGTGTTGTTGTGATATGATTGTATAATTCACATACTGTATTTCTCTTTGAATTAAATTTGTTTAAAAAGAGTCATTTCATAGCATTTTAAATGCAGTAAATCTGCACATCACAATGACAGACAAAATGCTAAATGCTTTGACTAAAATTAATTCATAATTGTATTTAGAATAATAGAACTATCACTTTGCTCTTTTTCTTTATTATATAGTGTGTGAATTATATCACTGTTGGGTATACTGTATAACTATTTAATAACTTCCATTTTCATTACGTTGAATATACAATAAAGTTGGAATGAATAAAATTAATGCAGAGGAGTGAAAAAGGATTGAGAAAATAGAAGCAGAGGGAGAGGAATGTACAGAGGAGGTAAATATGTATCAAGTACTCACCTAATTGTGCTTGCGGGGGCTGAGCTTTTAACTCTTTGGTCCCGCCTCTCAACTGTCAACTGTTAACTGTGAAGTGGTGTCTGGGCTTTCTCTCAACAGATGAAAATGTAATGGAGAGTCTGGCAGTGGACTGGCTGGGTAGGAATCTGTACATGACAAACAGTGTGGGAGGCAGCATCACTGTGTGTTCTCTAGATTGGCATTACTGCACCGTACTTATCTCCAATATCTCCGACTCCTGTAGAGGCATCCGACTTGATCTACAGAACAGGTATGATTATACAGTATTCTTGGTTCTTTGTGGTATTGCAAAAGCATTGGTTCTCTAAGTTAAGCAATTTTTACTACAGCTATGAACTTTGTTGAAGATATAAAATTTCCTTAAAGTAAACAGTCAATAAATTTTATATTTTTTCAAATCTTGTTCTTGAGCTGTACCATTCAGTTCCCTTAAGGTAAGATGTACAGTTTTCTCTATACAAGGTTTGTAACAAGTCAGATGCAAGACATTCTTTGCAAATACAACTTTTCAAACTCTCCCAGCAGGATCATTACAGGTCACTGGAGGCAAGCTCAGTTAAGCATGGAATTACTAATTCAGATGCATTCCATAAACCTCAAGCCATGAGTTCTAGTACTCCTAGCAATACTAGAAGGCAGTATTGTATCCGCAACACGTTTAATAACCCCTAGCAATGCTAGAAGGCAATACTGTATCCACAGCATGTTTAATACCCCTAGCAATACTAGAGGGCAATACTGTATCCACAACACATTTCATAGATCATGTATAATTTCCATTCTTCCCGAGTGTGTGTCTGAAAGGTCTTGTCCACTAATCTTTTGTTTCCATATTAAATGTGAATCACAGACAGGGCTAAATCACAAGAAACCAGATAAGAGACTATAGCTAATATCCACTTTCACAGATAAAAGGACCTGGTTGAGTTGTGTGTTCAGGTAATGTACAATCGCCAAATTGTCTCGATGACAATAGCTTGTCATACTCCTCTGGAGTCCAAACTTTTCAGAGGCAACTACATTGGCACCAACTCATGAACATGTGCCATGGATGGAAGTCAATAACCCTGACCCGCATTGTGCAAAATCAACACAGACCACGAGTGAGATTGTTATTGTGGATGAAGAGCTCAAGGAACATACATGGAGGTCTCCAACATGCTAAACAATGAAAAGCTGTGATATAAAACCTTCAAAAAGGCTAACTTCTCAGGGCTAGCAGGAAAGACACCAAGTGACCCTAATGATGTGATTAGGCAGTTTGCTGGAGAAACCAGTTCAGGTGCTGAAACCATAAACGATCCATTGGAAAGACATGCAACGATAGTTGATCTTGTCAAATAATCTTTTGAACGACTGGCACAACACAAAAGGGTGCTTTTCAAGTGCACTGAAATCTGCTTATTTTTATTTTTAAATTGTGTTTATTTCAGGTTGTTCTTATCCTGTCCTTAGTGGACTGTGTTGTAGGGGTCGGATGCTTAAGTGTGTTATGAATCACGATCCATCATAGATTTCCATTATATTTAGTATGAATGCTTGCTAGGATTATTATATAATTAATTAGTATTGTACTACATGTATAAATCTTCCAAGGGGGGGTGGGGGAACCCTTCAGTCTCTGACACGTTTAGAATCTAGTCTGCATGGCACTACTGTATATATCCTTGTTTATATTTGTGTACATCTCACTTATGTTAGCTTATTTCACATTTAGTATTTACCTGAATTTACCTGAGGGCCACTAGTAGTGGCCTCGGACAGGAAGTCGGCGGCTTGTCAAAGGTCCCACCATTTGCCCTGATGAGCTTTTCTATCTGTTTAAACCCAGCAGAGTCTTGGCATTTATGGCTTCAGCGGAAAGATGGTTTCATAGGTTTACAGCCCTATGGATGAAAAAGCATCTCCTGTTTTCTGTCCTACATTGGGCCTTGTTGAGCTTGAAAAGTATTACTGGTTTACCCCATTTTGCCTCTTAATAATTTTGTGAATTATTCAAAGTTTTGCCCAAAATGCTTTGCATGTAGTGGCATAAGTTTTTTGTGCAACCCCTGTACCTACAAATGTACCTTTGTCTTATATTTTTTGTATTCACATTTTTATGAATAAAGTACAGTATTATCATCATCATCATTATTATTATTAAAATGCACAGAAATCACATTAACGTCATATACTATATTTGGATGAGAAAATCCACTGGGATTATAGGTGGGCACGAACCTATGACCCCAGCATTGCTAGTCGCACACTCTGCTACTAGATCACCGAAGACTTGTGTTTCTGAAGTTGGGACATAAGGTGTAGGACCACTCTGCCCTTCCACCCGAGTGCTTGTGGCTCATACGTAAAAACGTGAATTGGCTTCAGTGGGGCCCTCCACACTTCCTGTGATTTCAGTAGAAATCCGGTTGCATGACTTGTACAAGTCTGTGGTGGTGTAGTGGTAGAGTACACGACTGGCAATACCGGGGTTGTAGGTTCACGCTCACCTATAGTCTCAGTAGATTTTTTCTATTATTATTATTATTAAGTAATGGTAATGTCTTCTCATAGACATAATAACACAGGATAAAAACCCACACTTGTGTATCTGTGAAATTTATGTAAGGAATTTACACCAAGTCTTTCGCATTCTCCTGAGTGCTTTGTCAAGGTCTGAGTGTGTGATTAGAATGAGACTTGCATTTCAACGTCTAATCTTAGATGTTGAGATGTAAGTCTTGTCCTAACCACATATAGTGCATGTACTCAGATCTTGACAAAGCACTTAGGAGAATGCGAAAGACTTGGTGTAAATTCGTTACATAAATTTCACAAATACACAAGTGTGGATTTTTAGCCTTTATTATTATTATTATTATTATTATGAATAAAATATTATGTTTAGTACCTAACTGTTATGTAATAATATTAAGTAAATATATTTTCAGTGTTATTGAAACTTAATTATTATTAATTTATAGAAATCTTACAGTATCTGTATTTATAAGCATATTTATAAGCAAGAAATCCAGGTCTGGCTTGTAAGTTTCTGATGTCTGCTATAAATATCTTGCTTGATAAAGGAACTGTGCCTGTTGTGTATAATTTTTCAATCTGGTTTTACAGAAAAATGTTTTGGGCCAATTGGAGAAATGGGGAAGTGGAAATGGCAGATATGGATGGATTTAACAGATCAATATTGGTGTCTGGTTTAGGGTGGCCCAATGCTCTTGCCCCCGACCCACCCCAGCAACGGTTGTACTTGATGGATGCCCTCACAAACACTGTGCAACATATTAGTTACAGTGGTGCTAATCACACGGTAAGTAAGCATGTCTGAGGGATAAAATGCTGAAGTTAATACTGTACAGTAGAAATAAATGAAACTAAATAATATAACTAAACTAACAAAACAGCTATAGGTCTTTGAAGCTATTCGGTGATGATTTATGGATGTATTCAGGAAGGAATAAGTTAACATGTAAATGATCGATAAAAATGAATAGTTTCATCTCGAGGAGTTGGAAATGAATGACTAGAGATGTCCGGTAAAGAGAATGAATAAATCCAGTGTTGAACGTAATGAAATGCCTTTTTAAATGAGTTGCAGTGGATCCCTGACTCCTGCCCTACCAGATTAGTTGGTTCATTGGTGTGCTGTCCATTAGCTCCAAAACTGACAAGGAAGATCATGGCATGATCTTTTTGATGTGGGTGTATCACCATTTGTATGATAATCAGGTGGCTTCGTTGATAGTGTCCCGCCTACGAACTTCATCTCGGTGACAGTATGGAGTTTCCTGGCATTCTTTTCGCCATTTCCTCTCTTTTCGTAGGTTGTCTTCTATTTCTGTTTGGGTTGTTTTGTCCTTTTTGGGCTCTTTCAGGACCTCATGCCCAATACTGTTGCATCTTATTGTACAATGCTGGCGGAGCCCATTTTGTAAGCTTTCTCATTCTTTGTTTCACCTTTGGCCTGCTCATGAGCTGCCTGAGCCATCCTGGTCCTTGGACAGGGTGCTCTGTTTTCTCTCTTCTCGGTTTGTGGTCGCCCCTTCGGTTCAAGATTGTTTTTCCAAGGCTCTGTTTCTGTTGGCATTGGCCTCTGGGTGGTCGGGTTGGTGCGCTTCATGCTCTACTCCGGCTCAAGAGTTTCTGCTCTCTCGGGCCTCGTGGTTGGTTTGTTCGGTTGCAGCCGTCTCCTTTTTTCTGGCAAAGAATGAGATGGCAGGCTTCCGGAGGGGCCCTTGGGTCAGTGCTGCTTGGTTGGTCAGACCAGGGGTGCATCATGTGTTGTTGCAGCTCTCTGCTGTTACCTGTGCGCCTCCGCCTCTGTGGTTGTGGACGCGCTTTGTGTTGACCCGATTTCCCCTCATTCCCTGTTCCAGGGCTCGGGTCTCTCAGGTCGTCCGCAGGGTTATTAAGTCTAGCCTGCCTGTGGTCTAACCTCATGCCCATGACATTCGTAAGTACTCTGTGCTGCTTCGGCTGATGTGTTTGGCAATATGTCTTGGGCTGACATTCGGGTACAGGGGTTTTGGAGGTCGAAAAACCTCCTGGCGGCCTATTGGTCCTAGTCATTCATGTGTAGCTTTGGGTTGCAGGTTGCAGCCAGTTGTCTTGACTTAGAGTTGATGTGCGTGTTGCGGCTGCCTCCCGGGTAAGTCCCTCTTTTACTTGTCTTTGGTTAAGTAGCTCCAGAGAGGTGGAGGGGCTCCCTCCCTCAGAAAACCAGCGTTGAATATAATGAAACGCAATTTTCTGGGTGAGCCCCAGAGGCTCCCTGGCACCCTCCCTCCCTCCAGTCGGCGGTTTCGTTTTGATGCCCAGCCTCCAAACCGAAGTGTGAGTAGCCGGTGTGGGGGTCCAGGACAAGTCCAGGGTCCAGACCTCCCTTTTCCCTCTCAGGGAGGAGAGGGCTGCTCGGACAAGCGGCGTGGCGGCGGTGAATGACGTTTGCTTGTTTCCTTATGTTTTGGGGGGATTTCTCTCTCTGTTCAGTCTTCGGTTGCAATTTCTTACCAGGTGGAGTTTTTGTTATGCCTACCTTTCAGGGTGCCTAACCCCAGTTGCTGGCAGACATGGAATGCTCCCAAACACATTAGGGTTTCCATAGGCCATTGCTCTGTTTCTCTCTGAGGGGACCAGGTTCTGGCTCGGGGTTCCCAGTAGGTAGAACCCTATTGACTGATGCCCCAGACTAATATAGCATATATCAGTCTGATAGCTCCAGGAAGCCTCCGGGGCTCACTCAGAAAATGGCATTTCATTACATTCAATGCTGGGTTTTTTATTTGTAAATCTGAATCTAAATTTTGTTGGTTTTACAGTTGTTTTGTTCATTTGGCTTAGATTTTTCATCTATGTCTGCATTTGATTATAAAATCTTGTCTTTTGACTAAAATTCTCATGTTTTGAATGGTAAAAATTTTTAATGACAAAATGTTTCATCATTCCAAATTTTCCATAAAGTGGCAGCAAAATTTGATTGATTATAGAGGTTCAGCAGCAGTTATATGAGCCAGGTTAAAGGATTGTAAAGATGATCTATTAAACTCTTTGCTCAGTATTTGTCATCTGCTCTACTATCCCACAAAGATAATACGGGTGTTTGGTTTCACCTCTTTGCATTCTTAAAGCTAAAAAAAAACTGGAAAATGTGGCTTTTTATATGAAGAAAAGGAGAGAGCTAGAAAATTTGAGCTAATCATAGGACACGGACTACAGATTTGAATTTAGCACATTGGAAATATATGTACAGTAATTTGTTTAAAAATACTTGACAGCAAAAATGTTGCAGCCCTGTGTAACATTTTATTTCTGCTAACAGTGAATGCAATTGATAATTATTTCATTACCGTCAAAGATTTGCTCACATGTTATTTTTGCATTTTAATAGTGAAGTGGTTGTTTATTTTTAGCATAATTGAAAATGTAAAGGTTAGAAAAACATAAATCAGAGAGGCTATTAATTACTGATTGTGCATTTAGTTTATTATATGGACATTTTTATTTCTTCAGACATTGATGGATGCTCAAGTTGACCATCCATTTTCTATGGATCTTCTGGGTGACCAACTGTATTGGACAGACTGGAAAACTAAACAGGTTAGTGCTACCAGCAATGTTTCCAATCTGTCTATTGATGCATCTTAAAAAAAAAAAAGATGCCAGGTAAACCACTTGCCTACATCTATAAAACTAAAACTGCAATGCTAATCCTGGCCTTAAATGGTTCCTAGTGGACTGAAACAGGACCCAGGTGCACCATATGAGAAATAAATATTTTTTTTTATATTCCAAGAGCGCGACTTAACCAAGGCAGAAATTCTCTGCAAATTAAGGGAAGAATTCCGAGCTCTAAAATGACCTCTCAAATGAGATTAAAAACTGTGCTTCTCCCAACCTGGTTAAAAGAGAAACTTAAGTAATTATCTTTGTGTAAGCAGTTTTACTTGCATGGTAAAGAGAGAGATCCTAATCCTAAAGATTAGGATCTCTTTAGGATTAATCCTAAAGAGATCCTAAAGAGATCCTAACACAGGTTTTAACCTGTTTTTTGCTATTATTATGAACATTAATTACTAATTTTACTATTGCAAAAAACTGCAGTGTGTTTCTAAATATCACTTAAATATTGTCAGTCATTTGCTAAATCTCGGTTAATATTTTTGAATCGTTACAAATTTAGTTTTAAGTATTACCCATTTAGACTTGTGATTCCCCCATTTTTTTTTTTAAGCCCAAAACATTTTGAGTAATGTACTTTACATATGAGATCACTACTATTTCTTGTATTAAATAAATGTATTTTTATATAAATAAAATATAATTGCTTCTTTGCCTCACGAGTTAAGAAGGCTCTGCTCACTTACAGCTTACTAAAGATGCAGAATCTCGCTCTCTCCCAATCTTTATTGTTCTTTGTCTACAGCCACACATGCACTATCTTTTATTCTACCAAGACTTATTCATTGTTATGGTAACAGGTATGGACATGCAACAAAGAGGATTGTGCAACCAAGACTTCTATAACGGAGCCCTTATCCAGCCGGCCCTTCGGGATCAAAATCCTTCACCCAGACCTCTATTTAAAGGTGAGTTCTTATTTCCTCAAAATATTTTGAAAGAAAAACAAAGTATAAAAAACAAGGTATAAAAATCAAGTCAGATGGTGAAAAGACCATTTGATTGATGGGATTAATGGTATGTTATTTCTAGCTTGGAGACAATTCTGTCAGTCTTCAACAATTTTAATAACAGTATGAATTTCCACAATTCAAGACAAGAATCCAAATATTCAAACAGTGCATTTTGTAACTATTGGATAAATTGACATTAGCATCATTTAAATTTCAGATGAAGAACCCATGCATGGACAACAGATGTGCCAACATGTGTCTGCTGTCTGCATCAGCCCCTGATGGTTATACCTGTGCGTGATTGATGGTCAAGCCACCGTAGAGGTGGCACGGGCATGAATAGCTTGAAAGAACCTGTACCTGTCCTGCACACCTGACCCCTTAAGGATGATCGTCACACGTGTGTCTCTCTCCACATAATTGATCCTTTTTTTTTTTGGTAATTGATAAGTAAACTCTGTAAAAAAAAAAAATGTACACAGCACAGGTGACTGTTCCCAACACAGTTATCCTGTATTTGGTCAGCTGTGTTAGATACTCTTGGTATTGACAAATGGCAAAAAGACACGAAGTACTGTATTACATTTGTAATTTGCTCTGTGAAAGACTTTCTTCAACAGCATTTTGATTTGTTTTAAATAATACAATCAGAATATATGACCTTTTTTGTATATGCTATGGATGATGTAGAATCACAGTATCAAGATTGTTTAAATATATATATATACTGTATATGCAATGTTATGCAGAATAAAAAATTTACTTATATCCTAAATCAGCATATAACAATGCCTGTGGTAAGGTTGAACCAAAATATTTTGGTCTTTAACAAAATCAATGAACAATGTCAATTATTACATTGTGATTCTTCATAAAAATATTATGGTAACAATAAAAAAACTAAGTTCTATTAATGCACAAGAGCCTCTTGCCAAGCAGTCTGTGTAAAGAGATAATACATAATGGAAGTATTGTTGAAAAGAAAAGAAAAATGCTTTATTTTATTAGCTAGACATAATTATACATACCAATTTACTTGCCATTACAGTCTAAACGAAATATACAATTTGTTAACCAATAGGTCCTCTGCCTGGCTGAATATGACACATCTCCAAACAATATTTCCATATGCACAAAAGTAATACCCCTTCAATATATTCAAACAATATTTATCTGCAAAATAAGTCAGCTTTGATTTTATAATTTTAACTATGTTTCACTGTCACTGTCAGATTCTAAGCTTATAATATCCAAAACATCAACATGCCCTTTGCCACGTCCTTGTGTTTGAGTACGGCAAAGCCTTGAACTTACGCCCAAAAGACTTTGTGCTGGCATATCAATATGGTTGGACTGAATTGCATTTCGTTGTTGGTGACTAGTAACCAGAGACTGCAGATGATGGGTTCTTGTAGTGTCTGATGCAGTACTAGCACAATACAGATTCTGAACTGTTGTCAGAGACTCATGGCTAGGATGGAGCTTTGGATTAACTTTGAGTTTGCTTACAGTTTTACCGTACTTCCCAAATGAAGTAACACTTTCATCTGAAGCAGCAGAAACATCTTTCAAAAATTTAGCCAATCTCCCACCATCATCCTCAGTTCCATATCTTCTTTGTTCAAATGTTGTTGAATTCAAATTCCAGTTACGAGCCAATGCCTCAATCTCTGTATGGCAACTTGCAATATCTGTAAAAGCATCCAAATTAAATGACGTTTCATGTGGAGTAGAGTTCCTGCTCCTTTCATCGAATTTCGTATTTTCAAGCCTTTCTTTCCGCGACGTGTTGACATTGCAGAATGGTAATTGTTTACCACCATCAGCGTCCTCTTGTGCTTCCTCCAAACTACTTTGAAATGGTCTCAATATGTTGCATCCTACCTCAGGTTGCCAAGCTGCATCATCACGTGTATCCTATATTGATAAAAAAATAGGAGTAGATATATAAAAAGAAAAAATATATTGCAAGATAATGTATTATGAAACACTCATTTTATACCATATCCAGTATTGTATGAGTCAAAGAATTTGAGCACAAAGTTAAGACAATAAATGTATGTTACTGTATACATTTATATTTTTTGTAACAGTAAGAACCATATAAGTTTCTTACCTCTGATACTCCATCACTATTATACATGTCAAAATCGGTTGACTGATCCTCGTCTAATAATCTATCCATCCGCTTTACCACCAACCCTAATGTTTCAGCCAAATCCTCCAGTCCAGCCATCACCTGACTTATTTGAAGGTCCAACTCTGTCATATAAAAATCCTGCAAAGACAAAATGTAAAGTGTAAAATGACAAAAAAAATTATAAAAGTAAAATTATAAACTTGTAAAACATAGCTAACTATACTATAGTAATTGGAAAGAAATTAAGTAGCATAAGATATTCGAACTGGCACCCATTTAAAACTACCCAGAATGACACAGTCATGAAGTTAAGATATCTACCACAAAGAACAGGCATCATGGACAACCAGCACCACCTAACTAGCAAATCATCCACAACAGTATTCCCATTGCTTAGTAATGTACTCCTCATAAATTGTACAAATTGTATTTATAGCTCTGCCGAGCTAGTGCACATGTACCCTTGGATACCATATTCTCCCTACCATCCTAACTTACCTGGATGAGGTTCTGGGAGTTGTTCTACTCCCCAAGCCCAGCCCGGGTCCAGGTTTGACTTGTGAGAACTTGGTCCAACAGGTAGTTGCTTGGAGCGGCCCACAGTCCCACATATCCACCACAGCTTGGTTGGTCTGGCACTTCTTGCCAGACCAACAACTGTCCAGTGTTTTCTTGAAGACTTCCACTTTTGTTCCAGCATTATTTCTTATACTTACTGGGAGTATACTGAGCAAATGTGGACCTCTGATATTAAGTTTTTTCTGATTGTGCCTATGGCACCTATTCTTTACTGGCCCTATTCTCCATTTCTTTCCATATCGCTCACTCCAGTATTTTTATTTAACTCAGCAGATTTGGGACCTGGCCCATTAGTACCTCCCATTTCATATCGCTTGTCTTCTTCCCAATAATTTACGTTCTCTGTACTCCCTCTTTCAACAATCTCTCCTGTTCTGAAGGGGAAAGTATCAAACAATACTCAAGAAGGGACAGCATCAGTGATTTGAATAGTATGAGCATTACTATAGGATCAATGGATTTGAAGGATCTCGTAATCCATCCTATCATTTTTCTAGCTGACGATATATTTCCTTGTTTATGCTCCCTAAATGTCTTAAAGTCGTCAGACATCATTATTCCCAGATCCTTTACATGTTGCTTTCCTAGTATGGGAAGATTTGATTTTTATGTACCTTGTATTTTGTGTCTTAATTTTTACCATACCCAAATTTATGAATGTTAAACACGTTATTTTCTGCTACTCAATCGAAAACTTTATTAAAAACAGCTTGTAGTTGTCAGTCTCTTCTACAGAAGTAATTTACATGCTGATTTTTGTGTTAGCTTCAAAAGATGATGCAAACCTGCGACATGTATTTTTGTCTATATATGATATGAAAATAAGGAAAAGCAGTGATGCAAGGACTGTGCCCTTAGGTACAGAGCTTTAACTGTGCTTGAACTCAATTTTATTTGACTCTACTGGCACTTTGCATTTCTCTATAAATATAGAATTCCGTGAGTCTGGACCCGGGGCTGAGTACATAGGCATGTTTTCAATTTCTCTTTCAAATTCTGCAGTGTTCATATTGATATGAATGATATTTTCAGGGATTTGGATATCAGGCATGAGGCAAAAGTATTACCAATATTCAAGAAAGAAGATCGACAGCAAGCCATAAACTACAGTATATTCTAACATACATTCTATACAAAACACTGGGAAAAAATAATCTGGAAGAGAATATTAAAGCATCTGTAGATAAAAAGTTTTTCAACAGCAAACCATCATCATTTTAGATGGAAAGTCATGCACGAAACTTGACAGTTCCATAACTGGGTCAGAAGGAAACTACAGCAATAGGAGGACTGCTAGTTAAAGAGTGGCCAGTTTTATTATAAATCTTAATTTTACCATCATATGTAAGTGGTGTTAGCTTTGAGACAATACTAAGACCTCATCTCATGATATTGCTAATGAACTCCTTTAACAAAAATTCAAGTGAAACAAGACTGTGTTCTTACTGAAAATACTTAGTTGCATATGCTGAAGGACTGCGGGTCTACTAGTAAAGAGATGAAAAATCCATTAGGTATTCTTAAAGATATAAAACTAAAAATACAGTCATTTTAAAAAGTAATCAAAAAATAAAACTTACAGGTGGGGTATTATCCTTTGGCTGACTCTCATCATCATCGTCTTTCTTCAAAAAGACTTTCCGCAGTACAGTCTGACTGCGTTGTTTCACATAATATGATATGTCCTCCCATTTTACATCCAACCTAGAAAAATTAAACACATTAATTACCTGGGACATTCATCATCCTTACCCTATTTGCCACTTATGGATTTTTTGTATAGTAAAATGACATTAATGATTATAATCATTAAAATATCACTTGTCCATTTATAATAGGATTTACAGCTGAACAAACATTACCACACACTTGCAGTACACCACCACTTCTTAAGGTGAACAGTGCTCCCTCATGGTTGTCATATACATTATATATAAACTTTTACTCCATTCACACACACACTAACCTGTCCTCTCAGTTAATGCACCATAATTTTGTGGCTGTCAAACACTTTTGATTAGGTAAAACCACTTCATATAGTATACTTCACAAATCATGAGAACATTACCTTACCTATTCCTCCCCATATCCTTCTCTTAAGAAAAATCACTAGAATACTCTCTCCTCACCAGACTATCGTCCATTAGTTCAACATGCCCAAACAATCTCCTTAATCTCCAAACTTTCACTTTAATCTTGTGGTTTATTAATAATGGCCTTCCACCCTCACTCCTTACAATATCTAACACTACACATGTACACTACTACAAGAAGTTTACACTTACCCTGGATTGTTAACACGTAACTTCCGCACATTCAGGAAAGCTGCAATGTAGAGGGATCTACCCACTTGATACAGAAACACATAGGTTATCAGGTAGTATAAATAGCCCAAGAGAGTTGTGTAGCCTGACGATTCATCTTCCATTTCTGTAATTAAACATTCATGTCAGTTTTATGCAAGTTAAACAACAGTATCTGGCAAGATTTAGTGCAAAATACACCAAGCCAAATTTTTTTTATATCGCAAGTCTTTCACTCATGAAATGTGCTACAATAAATTAAGATTCTTAACTTAGGCATAGGCATACTCTTAGGCATTAATGAACTTACTCTTCATAAAAGGAAAATGTGCCCACGCAATTCCAAAGAGCGTTAGTGCAGTTTGCGACAGTGTGTGGCATTCCCACATCACATGGCTGAACCACATGTGTCCCAGCATTGAGCATGCTATCACCAACACACACATCACAATACTAGAAGAAATAACACAAAAATTAACAAAAAATGTACCTTGCACAAAAATGTGTCTATTTTTATTTTGACATTAATTATAGACAGTATGAATACAAGAGCCACTATATCAAATTCACTGCATATAATATATATTAACCAAATTATACATTACGAAAACTTTCCATTCAAAGTGAGGTACTCACGGCCTGGTCGACGACCGGGCCGTGGGGACGCCGAGCCCCGGAAGCACCTCAAGGTACTCATTAGCTCCTGGGACCAAACCTTCCAAAAATGTTATTGCCTGCTAGGCCTTTTTTCTTAAAACACTGTACACAGCAGGTTTTAAGTTTAGGTACCCATATTATTAGGTACACGGTCAAAGTACCCATATTATTAGGTACACGGTCAAAGTACCCATATTATTAGGTACACGGTTAAAGTACCCATATTATTAGGTACACGGTCAAAGTACCCATATTATTAGGTACACGGTCAAAGTACCCATATTATTAGGTACACGGTCAAAGTACCCATATTATTAGGTACACGGTCAAAGTACCCATATTATTAGGTACACGGTCAGAGTACCCATATTATTGTATTCTATGATTCAATACACTAAATATTACATCACCTACATCTTTTGTGTAATTTAACTTCTGGTCTTTGAAAGCATTCTATTTTGCCAATAAAATCCTTAAAAATCACAATGTCGTGTGAACGAACGCAGGGAAATGAATGCAAGGAGTCAACTGCACTACAGATAGAAAACTATAAATGGATGCAGATGGAATAACAAAATAATTTAATATCAAAGTAATTGTTTACCTTATTATAAACACATCTTTAGCTGCACTGGCCACCATGACTAGAAGACATCGTAGACGAGGTAAATACTGCATCAGGCACAAACAACGTAGAATGTGCAACATCATCATTACTCCAATCATTGCTTCCAAGATCTGGAACACAAATACAATAAATATCTGCTCATGCTTTGCAATGCTGCAATTAATAATTATTGTATAGTATCTATAATCATATATTTATGTCTTAGTTATGTACAGTATTTCTCTTTCCAAGAACTGTTAAAACCATTTTTTATGGTTGGTATGGTACCCCTATTCCGGGAAACACAAAATTAAGCACTTACCCGAAACACTGTGTGCTAGTGACTGTTCAAGAATGTAAGAACTCTTGTATATATAAATAAAAGATAAATAAAATAAAATAACATTTCATTCATTTAGTTGCAAATGCAAAATGTGACATGATCAATACAAACATATATCCTGGCTAGATTACTCACATCATCCCATGTTGCTAAACTCTTCAGATTGACAAACTTTTGGAAGTAAGCCACTCTCAGCTGCCACAATGCATCTTCTGCTATTTGAACACGCAGCATGAGACACACTACGTAGCTCCAGCTCGCCACTGTCATCAATACATCTAATATTCCCCAAAATGACTTCCAAATCCTGCAACCATTAATTATTTTAAATACAAAATACAATGGCAATTACAGTATCTAAAAATCTCTACATACAACGAATCATTCTTAGATTTTGGATTCTACATTCCCCCAATAAAAGAGGCAAATTCTAATTTACAAGATACCGTACCATATTTTAAATCTCCAAAACATTAATCTTTGTAAATGCCTTAGTGATATGACCACTGAAGTACACGCTACAGGGATGACTTCATTTCAGGTTATGCACTAGATATTGCTCATTTTGGAAAATTAATGCAACTTATTTATGTCAGTTGATAGGGAAACTGCATGATAATGTAACAACAGTAAGTCCATGCAAGTTTGTGAGCCTACATTCTTACATATCATGGCCTCTGAAACAAGTATCTCAAGCTAAAATGAGGAGAAAAAGGAAATGAGTAAGCTTGAAGAATTTGACAGAATGGATGAATGTGCTGTGACAAAAAGACTGGAAAAAGAGCTGATGATTGTACCACTCAAAATTCAAGTAGTAACAATTAGTTTCCTCTTACCAAGATTAAAGACAATAACAGCAACAGTTGGTGACTTTATAATTGTGTGGCTATTAATAATAAAATTAAAATATTCAGGATATAAAGGATGATCAATGAAACACTTGCGGTATTTGATTAACAAGTTAAAACTGACTGGAGGTGCAATACACTCAACATTATTCTTGGCTGTGTGTGGGACCTCCTTCATGTGTGTCATTTGTTAATGCACTAGGCAACCCAAATCAGTATTTCAATAACATGAAAGAACTGTGCCTTACCTGAACCGACAAGTATATACGTAGATTGTAGTTTGGTACAAGTAACGCATTGCTACTGCCAGAAGCAGAATCTCGGCCATCATGCTGGCAGCAGAGAACCTTCCATTGTATCTCTCAATGTGGGTTGACCAAATGTTGGTTGTCAGCTACAGCACAATACAAAAGATACACATTCAGTTATGTCTTTTATTTCAAGATATTTTACTATTTTTAGGATGTTTAATATAGTATTGTAGTTCAAAATGTCTCTAATGAACAGATACAAAATATTAAAGTATAATGAAGCTCTCAAAAACATACATACTGAACACTTAGCAAGTATACAAAAACTTATTTTAATAAAGTCATCAGTTAATTGAGAACTCCATAACTTACCTTAACTCCAGAAAGAGATGGAAACTCTGCTAGCAAAGCAATTGTTGTGTACAATCTGGTTTGAGGATGGTAGAGAGTAAAATCAGTAACCACGGCTCTTGTTTTGTTTTCATCAATCCAATTGGTAGACTGCAGAACAATAAACGTGAGTATACTGCTCAAGCGGGAACTTGGTAGAACTTTCTGATAGACAGTGTAGCTGTAATGACCAAACTGTCCATAGGTGACAGCCAGAAAGTGAGCATCCCATTTGTATTCTCTATCAATATTAGACCCGAAGCTATAAAGGTGTGCTACCTGGTCCACATAATCTGGAAAACAAGTCTTCACTCTCAAGAGGTCTGCCATGGACCTATTGTTACCGATTTTAACCTTGCTTGCTTGACATTCCTCGGAACCAATGTCATATTTACGAATTCTAGGCGTTCCGATGATAACACTGTTCAAGTCACAGAAATTGTTGTATTTACTGAATGTTTGATCAGAATTATAAGTCAGAGCAAGAAGTTCAGAATTTGCCCATTTCCACCAATCATTTTTATTTTTAATGTCCTTGAATCTCATATAATTTATATCTTCTGCTTGGTTACAAGAGTTTTTGTCAGTACCTGTAGTCTTGCACGTGTCTAGATAACAAGCAGATTCTAGGCAAGTCCCGTTTTCCAGTGCTGAAAAAATAGCACGATTTAGTCTGTAGCTTTCTTTAACATTAACACTACTTGCAATTATTATTAGTAGTATCAAGAATAGCAGATGGCCTGTTGTGCTACAGAACAAGTTGGAAACTCTTTCTTTTCGTAATTCCTTCTCCCGGCACTTAAGTAGGTAGTCTTCACTTGGTGGATGTGCATATCTAAGATATCTTGTCCTTTGTCGCTCTTCTAATACTGAAAAAAAAAAGAGGTTTTTAGAGTACTGTATTGTAAATGAGAAGATTCTTTATGAATGGCATACTTGGCTGCTTCCTTAGGCAAAATACTGCTGGTTCAATAAACAGTCATGCACAGCTAGGACAGGATTGACATTTAGAACAAGAATCTTAAATGCTCAGATACTCTTGTAGAGTTGTACAATATGAGAATAACAGAATCACTCACTCTAGAATGGCCTCTAGAAGGCTCCCACATATAAACTTAAAAAGAGCTTACAAGATACAAACTTGTATATGATGAACTTTATTCATGTGCACATGCTGCCACCTAGTAGCAGTTAGGGGTAGCTTTTGGGCACGCTACTAGCAATTAGCAAGATAGCAATTTGACAGTCCTTAAGATGCTAAGTCTAAATGAATGAGCATCCTTGGGGTCACTCCAAATTTGATTTAGTATTTTACATTGCCTATCTTGCCAACATGACTTAACAAGAACATTTAAAAAATGCTGTTGGGCTGGGACGAGACATGAACCTGCCTTGACTGTGCATGATCCTGTCATGCACAGTCAAGGCAACTATACTTAAGTAGTATAGTTCAGAAAATATGCAAATTCCAACACTGCTAACAATTTAACTCCAACTCATGAAAATTGTCAAACTTCAGCCATATCCTACTAGGCAGTTATCCTTCAGTCATATATTAAGAGTTTTTTAGTATTATGAGATCATTGCTAAATATACAATTGAAAATTTTTCTTTTGAAACATAACCAGGATGTATGTTACATTCTTGGTTAAATTTCATAGTAATTATGCCATGCACTAATTCAAAACATAATATGTATAATTAAGAAGTGTCAATTATATTTACATGCTGGTCAAGTTAAATTTAATTAGTCTTTTCTAATAAAACACTTCACTTGTACTCACATTTCTCCCTGTCCATAATTTTGGCAGTACAAACTTGTTCCAATAGAACTGTTTGATAGCGGTTCCATATGGCCACCACCTGCTCTAGTGGAACAGTCACGCAAGAGCTGATGCACCCTCTGCACCCGAGCCACCGATACATGCAAACCTGGTACACAATTTGCCCATCAAAATAAAATATTTAGCAAATGCCAAGACTTACAAGCTTAAATAATTTTTTTTTTCATCAAAGGGACAGCTATGGAACAAAAGAACCTTGTGGCTGGTTTACCAGCCACAAGGTTTGGTTTATTTTATTTCAAGAGTAACAAACAAAAAATAAGCTATATGCTTGAACAGTGGTTATCTAGGCAGTAATAGATAACAGAGCTATCATACTCTTATGTTTCATCTCAAGAAAGCTACTTTAAGGTCTGCTATTACCTCCCCCCAAAAATATGACTCAAGTTGCTTATATATAAGGAGATAGAGATTTTCTGTTTGTTACCCTTGAAAAAGCAAATGAACACAATGGAAATATGAGTAAAATTTACAATAGGCATTTTTATCCAATACAAAGCCATCATAATTTTCCTTCTTAACACATTCGTGATGTTGGGAGGCATTTGCCTGGAGAAAATAGAGAAACACACAACAAATAAAAAGGAGCTAATGCCTCCGACTATGGGCATAAAAAACTAATACACTAATTCTACTTTTGAAATATTAATCTTTTATTGATTACTTTAATATGGTTCAAAATTTTTTTTTTACCATGGCATGTTATGAAGTTTTTTCCAGCTAAATTTGTAAATATATGGTCAGGCATTATATTAAATACTGAATATTTCAGCTTGTCATCATATTTAGAAAATTACTTCTATACAAATTACTCACAACATAAATTTTACTTGACATGCAGAACTAGACACTTACCTTATAAAGTGTGTAGATAACAACAACTAGAGGCTGCATAATAAATACTGAAGAGCAAAGCGTTATGTACATAATGTGAATCCACAACGAACCATAGTCCATGGGCATCCCTGATCCACGCACAAACAGAACCATGCAGCACATAGCTGAAAATGAATAGAAATGTGACAAAACTTGGAAATACTGTATTGTATAATTTGTTTCTGGTAATACGCACCACTGCAAGTAAGTTATTTATGAAAAGAAGGCACCAGGCTGGGGCAGACTATGTAGCACCATGCAGTAGTATTAAGAATCTTTCTTGTGTAAGTTTTATGGTCACAGATTCTCCAGCTAGATCTATTACAGGCTACAAATGACAGCACACACACTGTATGTATTCATGTAAAGTAAATGAAAATATTAAAAAAAAAAAAGCCTGCCACAGAAGGTTTTCTCCAAGAGGAAGTAACCACCCAAATATTAAGGACATCAATTAAAACAAGAATATATGGTACCAAAGCTAGGCAATTATTAACCCACTATAGCTATTAGAGTTACCGTGAATATTTACACAATTTGAGCACCAAAAATATGACACCAACAGACCACAAAAAATACCAAAAACTAATTTGAGAAAAATAAACAGGATAGTGCCATGCAGTACCCACACCCCATCACTCGTTGCTTTGTAAACGAAGCTGGCCACTCTGGTAGCAAACTAAAACCTGTACCCGTTATGACTCCACTACACTCCTGTACACACATTTTTGTTTGCACATTTGTAACTTTCACATGCTTATCTGCAAATTTTTTTGTTAAACACACACACCAGGACGGAACAAATTTTCACTGCACAGTTTGACAGTTTATTACACTACATTTAGACTTTATGCACTTACATTGAGCTCATCTCTGGATTACAGAACTGGTATAGGGATTAGGTGACTAAATAAGCAAGCAGCTGTAAATAATCTGGATTTGTGACGTCTACAGTATTATTGTAAAATGTGATCCGTCCTGAACTATCAACTTCAAAACTTGCATGAACACTACAAAACTTTGTATAAAATATAATAATTTCAAATCCATGTAATCCAAAACACATATCACGGGTTATCTGTAGAGTACAGTACTTCGTTACACTTCATATGACCATAACTACATGCATCCACTCAACCTAAATCTTTACTATGTAATTTTTTCTGGTTGCACCAAAATCAATCGTGTTATAGAATTTGTTGCACTCAGAATCTACAAAGTCTGTTAACCATAAATACAGTGGAATCTTACTGTAACAGAACCTGATCATCTGGAAAAGTAGATGTGGAATAATCTTTATAAATTTAGTCCAACTAATCTGGAATGAAATCAAGATGCATAGTGCTTCCAAACCTTTTTTTTTTTCCAAAACCTATTTATTTAAAGTGATTTTTACAAAATATCCAGATATGTATTTTGTGTTAATAAAAGCCCAATAACTGTGATACAGAACCAAAGACAAATCCAATGAAGACATCAGATGCACCAAAAGTGTCCAGAACCAATTGTTTGATCAAGAATGACTCCACTGTTTACAGAAAATGTTTATACTCACCAGCAAATAAGCAGCAAACTATCCACCCAAAACACTGAGAAAAGATGAACGTAATGCTGGACGTCACTCTTAATTCATCACTCTCCATATCATCATCATCTTCTTTGTCCTCTTCAAGACCCCAGCCTTCTTCCTCAAACGTAGCCCTTTTCTTCATTTTACCTCTCTTGTTCTTGGCTACAAAGTGCACAATGTAGTTGAATGTTTTGCGTAATTCCGAGAAAAAATTCAAAATTATTGGGGAACACTTTTTGGCATTTGCAGTTTCATGATCATCATTTACTAAATTAGGTAAGCTTGTTGGGAGTGCTGCTGAAGGCGGAGCAGCAACAGAGTTATTTCTGGCCTCGGTGCCAGTATTTTTCCTCGAGCGTTGTGTTATCTGTGTGTTCTCTTCTCTTTGCAGTAATGCTGGATGGAGTACATCCGATTTTAAATCGGGCAAATCTATATCTTGGGCCCAACCGGTTAAATTCCTCCACATTTGAGCATTGATGTCATAAATATCATCACCATTCACCTTATCAGTTTCCTCTTGGCAATTTTCGTGTATATCATTGGCTGTTGGAGTACCAACCATTTCCTTCGTGGCTCTTAGGGTGTCTAACACAGTCTTAGCATTGTATTCTTTCTCTTCCTGAAAAAAAATTACATTGAATGACTAACAAATTTCAGTTCTTAGTATGTGACCAAAATCATTCATTTCAATTCAACAAGGAAATTACTTTTATTTCAAACTAAAAATGACTTCACTAAACTTTGCATGGATTGGGCAACTTACGAGTCCTCCAACATATTCATATCAAAGTTGCCAAGTGACAATACTTGAAAATACTAACCAGTCTATTACTCATTTTGAAGACCATTTCCAGCAACCACTGCACTGGTAGCAGCAGCATGGCAATGAAAGCACCATAGTAGAGGGATTCTATATGCATGTCTGGCACCATCATTGTATGGTCACTGTTTATTTTCTGTCAAGTAGATGTTTGAATTTCATAATTACGCTCTTACATAATGCCCATATCTGTATATTCTATATACTGTACATATATGAAAAGCTGTGCAAAATTTCCACCATTTCAATTAATATTCATTCGTACTTGGTGTGTACAATCAGAAATTGTTGTTACTTGCAGCGCAAGATTTATCAAGAACTCTCAGACCCCTGACTGCATAACTTACCTGTACAACACTAAGAGAAACTGTTCCCATACAGAGGCACACAATCAGGCAGATAGTGACCCTCTGAAGGCGATACAGTTTGGCCGTGCTTGATGTAGTGAGCAGTGACGTCCATAACATGTGCTCACTGGCATACTGGGGTAGGAAATGCTCAAAATCCTGAGGGTTACAAGAAATTAATGTCAAAATAGAATCAAGCAAATTAAATCGAACCAATTTTAAATTCAACTTCGAAAAAGCCATTGTAATTATCAGATTATAATTCTTACGCCGAGTATTCACAAGTTAAAATATTGGAAAGAAAACAATTAAACAGTATTAAAGAACCATAATATACCTGTAAAAATGTTGTAGGGCTCTCAAGTGTAATCTCTCTCTCAATTTTGGCATCTTCTGCTTGTACCGAGAGCCATCGGTAACATGGATATGCATACCTGGCTCCGTGCACCAAGTCAGCAACGCTCGTTTCACAGACATACCAACCAGACTCACTACCACCACTGTTGTCGTGCCACACTTGTACCTTCAGGATGTCCCCTAGCTGCTCAGCAGTTCTGTTAAATGAAGAAAATGCAAAATTAAAACTTCAGAAATGTCCCCCAGTGGCTCAGCAATTCTACCTACAACAGAAAATAGAACCTCAATAGATTCTTTGATTGCAATTTTAATCTTTCATTAGAACAGTAATTAAAATAATTAACTATTGCAAACTATCTACCATTCTTTCTATGCACAGAGTAGCTAACAAGAACTTACGTACGTTATAGTGGACTCTACTCAAATGGAATTCTCTCCCTGGAAAGTCGGATGGAAATGAATTGGCCAACCCGTGCTAAGCACGGGTTGGCTTTGGATACACAGAAAAATAAAGAAAGTGTCAGTCAAGTGCATGAGGCAATAAAGGACAGGAAATCCCAATAAATACAGAACTCTGTTACAACTTGAAATGAGGTCATGGATACCATGTTAAACTGTGCAGGGAATATTCTTGTGCCAATTGTTGAAATAGGCACAGGCAAAGGTGAGGGCAATGACTTTAAAAGTGATTCTGGTGTTGCGACCCGTGGGATACTTAGAGAAGTCTTTGTAAAAATTTATTGTATGTATGTACCTTACCTAAATAAACATTTTATTTTTTTTTTTTTATTTAAGTTGGTGTGGATGTTGACTCGGAAAATATACAAGAATGGTTAGTGTGATGCAAATGATTACAGGTAATAATGTGATGCTGACTTGAAATAAAGGTAGTAGGATGTTCATAAACAAAATTGTTGAAAGTATTTCTTGTCACAGTGAAGAAGGATGACGAGATGGGTGATGATACAATACGATTCCAGTTTAAGCAGCACTGATGTTCTAATAGATGTTTTATCAGTCAATCTTGGCAATGCCAATCTCTATCTATAAAACACTTGCACACATTTTGATACCAACATCACTTGAGAGTACAATACTAACTTTTTAAGCATGTTCCTAATTTTATTTCAAGTTTTAATGCATTAAATTCCAATCTAGTGAATGCATGGGCTTACTCTGCCCATGTCAGTCTGCCATACTACCATAACAGATTCCTTCCACCGTATTCCATTTTCTAGTATAGTGTCCCATTCACATTATTTTTTATTTTATTAAACCTTTTCTGATCTGAATCAGAAACTTGGTTGCTGCCTTAAACAAGAACCTGCTGTTCCCATGTACAGGATTAGGCACAGTTGCAGTAGGTCAACATTTTGTACTAGCACAACACAGATCTATTCAAATGTCCCTTAAGAGTCACACTGGTCTGATACATGCACTAGAGAATTTCCTCATCTAGTCTGAATAGTCTCATGCAAGCTAATGCAACTGAACTCAAACCCCCATCAAGGTGCTACTCCTCACCAGAGACCATAAAGCTACACTCTACTAATCACTAGTTGGTCCATCTGGCTGCTGTATTCAACGACCGCCAGGTATCACTGACCACCAGGTATCACCGACCTGGAGATACCTGGTGGTAGGCGATACCTCCGGTAACTAGTCTCGAGCACTTACGTCAGAATGAAGGTGCACAAGGCCCCACGAGTAAACAGTTGACCAGTCTGCTGTGATTGCAGCTCTCTAGTTTCACTCATCCCATGTGTACCATGCAGAATGGCATACACCTGAAAAGAATTATTTCTGTATTTAAGTTTACAATTAAACAAGTACTATCACAGGTCAAAAATCATTTACTAGTACTGTGACTGTTTATATATAAATCTAAATGTGGCTTAGAGTATACAAAATATATATTTCTTCTTCATTCATAAATATAATATTATATTAAAATTAAAGTATAAATTATTGTACAGCATTTGGAGTCGCACATTAACTGTTTTTTGTCCACTTTTAGTTAAAATTGCTAACATTTATACATTTTGACAGAATACCCAACATTTAAAACTCACAAATCTATAATTGATAAGTCTGCCTCATTGAAAGCTTCAAATTATGTTAGATCCGAGAGTTGGGGTTTTAATTTAATTCTTTTGTTGCCAGGTGTGAAGAGACCTGCAGGACCCGACCTACAAGACAACACCCCCCCCTTCCACTCGTAATGGCTTGGCACTTTCCCCTGATAGTTCTCTCCCTCCCCTCCCCCTCACTCATGTCAACATGTTTTTTATTTTATAAACTGGTGCCTGATAAAAGAATTGTGTAAAGTATTGATCTTTTGTTAATAATGCAACTTTCCACTCTCAGAAATAGTTACATGTTTTAAATTATGATCATAAAATGATATAAACAAAATTAAGCACAATGACAACCAATTAAAACCAAAAAAATTAAATGACCAAAGATAAAATGTCCTACCCGAGCAGTAGTGCCAGCATTCCATTGTGTGCCCGTCTTGATGGTCAGCAAATACGCATATTCATGGTCAGGTTTATTGTCACGCAACCAGATGTTTCTTCGTCTGAGGCGATGCCTGTCTGATGTTTGTAAAGCCAGTGCCAATATGAAGTACACGAGCAAAAGTAGCAACATAAAATAGAGGGCCAAGTACGTCTCGTGTAACATTAGTTTATTGACTTCCACCTTGCTCTCATCTCCTAATATAGGAATGGACTGGGCTCCATACACTGAGAAATGTGATTTGCAGCTGTAAAGGAATGTTTATATTTTAACTCAAAAGATATATAAAAGACTAATTAAATGAATTCAGACAAGATAAGTTCCAAATAAGGGCACAGTTGATAAAAGAAAAACCAGGATAAATTGTTACCACACTGCACCACAGGAGAGCACTGATGGCGACGGATCTCACCTGCACGTTGTATAATCCCAAGACGATTCCTCACCAATGACAGAACAATTTTGGTGATGCCAGAGGGTGTCACCCCACACTAGACACTGCGACCACCAGCCACTCACGAGGAAATTGGCACCCATGTCACTTGAGTTGTATCTTGCCCTGCACGTGATTAGTTATTTTATAAAGACAATATAAATACCAACTATGTCAAATTTATCATCAAACCCTTAAATATTTGTAATAAATAAATTACTATTATTACTAATGTAAAATTTGTTATCAAACCCCTTAAATATTTGTAATATATAAATTACTATTATGACTAATTCACTCATTCAGCACAAACTGTTATAGCTTTATACAAATTGATCTTTTGAATGTAAATATTTGTTTAATTTCAGTCACAGCACATGGTAGCAATAATGACTTGGACATTCATGTAATGCCAAACTAACCTTTTGCCTTTTTTAAAATTTGCTTATATAAAACATCAACACAATTAAGTAACACTGCACTTACCTATTATTTGTATAGCTATTTTTATCCATGATGATGAGCAAGAGTTTGCCATAAGGGAGTTGGGCTGGAGGGATGAAGAGAGACACTTGGGATGGTTCATTAGCAGCCATCACTTCTTGTTTATATATTGGCTCCTTCAAACTCTGCATGTCATTGCTGCCAAAACAAAAATCGTAAACAATTTTCTCTGCGCTAGAATTATCGTAACCTTACGTTATTATTGAAATTAATTAACACCAAGTACATATAATAAAAACACACAATAAAAAATAAACACACTTCTGATGTATAGAAAATTTTGCTACAGTATTGTTAAAATTACTTTATATTTTTGTAAACCTATATCATTGTTGGGAACAGGTAGCCTTTTAGTATCAAGGTCTTCCTAGTGAAAAATGAGGCTTTCAAAGCAGTCACCCATCCAATTGATGACCAGCCACAGTGATACACATGTGAGATTAGGAAAATCTTTCAAGTACCTAAGAAATGGAAAGCACATAGAGAGCAGGTAATTGAACTTAAACCCCCCAAAATTAGAAAGCATCACACTCAAACTGAGCAGAGGGTAAAACAATTTACCCAAAGCAGAGATGTGTCAATCGTTATGTAAACCAAATCCTATGCAGGAAAGAATGGGAACACAATCTTTGAACACCACCATACCAAAATAAGAGGAAGGACCAGAAGGCAATCCTTACAATGGAGTTACACACATCCCTGTGCACTGTCTGGGGGACAAATGATCCCACACATGAGCTATAAACTTCTACTAGGATATAAGGGGATCCTCATCCATCCTACCCAACCCTGAGAAAAGGAAAAGAATGGCTAACCTTCACTGCCATGAATAGCAGTGAAGCAGAATAGCAGTTGGCTTCCCACTCCCTCTGTTGCAGATTTTTGGGTATGCAGTCCTGGCTCTCACAAGCACTGGCCTCCAACAAGTACAAGGCTGGGAACTCTTGCCTCCTGGGTCCTTCAGGGTTAGCCATTACAGACAAGTCCCTGAAGGACCCAGGAGGCAGAGTTCCCAGCCTTGTACTTGTTGGGGGCCAGTGCTTGTGAGAGCCAAGACTGCATACCCTTAAAAATCTGCAACAGAGGGAGTGGGAAGCCAACCCCTTACTAACCAAAACATCAGTAGCTAAAAGTGCTTCAAAATAAGCTTCAAACAGAGCTCTTCCTTGAGCTCCTGACTTCCAAGTCTGAACCCTCTATAAATAAACCATTATAATATGTTCTCATGTATAGTTAATGAATAAAATTATTAATCACTAATCATCATCATCGTCATCATCAAACCAGAAGGCCTAAAACCTTTTCCTTATAAAAAGGAATCTTGTACAGCCTTCGCAAAAGCTAAGAAACAAGTCCCCCCCCCCATGCCTGCTCCATTAGTTAGTAGTTGGGCACTGACTTGAACAGGATGACACTGGCCAACCCAGAGTGTGGAATGAACCTTGATCTCAAAGAGAGAATATCCGAGTTCCTCTCTAGCAACAGTACTGAATAACTAGAAAAGGGAATTGGTGATGAATGTTACATTTCCCTGAATGATATTAACCCTGCCAAATGGGGACATTCCCTGAACTTTCCTCCGGAACATCAAAGTTTCATAATTCGGAAAAGAAATAGAATGCAGTATAACAAAAATAAATACAGTACAATATCATTGTACTGTATTGGAAACATCCATTGTACATCCATTGTACAACATTGGAAACAACAAATTGGAAACATCCTATAATTCTGATTAATGGTAACCCTAAAACTATGTAAACTCTAACTCTAAAAGTACAGTACTCCACATTTTATTGTAATTTTTTGTATGCAAGTCATCCTACTTGAACCTTTAAATTAACAGTTGACTTACAACACTGGTACAGTAGTCTATTTGGATCAACATGCCTGAAATTGTGATCTTGCTGGCAGCATGCGGCAGATCTTCACACCAATACCTTTGATTGTTGTGGTTTGCTAGATGAGTATGCCGAGCCTCCACACACCTGAAACTTTGCTCACCTAATACAGCGAACAAAGGTCCAAAGCAAGTCTCAGGTGGGGGACGGATGGGCTGTATCCAAGATGATGCAATTTGAATCCAGTATACACACACACCTAATAGCAAATCTCGCTTGAAATCGATCCATAGCTTATGTAGAAAATTTAAACACAACAAAGTTTCTATGTTGTAAGAACTGTACCATGTAAAAATAATGTTCCTGTAATACAACTAGAAAAATCAAGTTCAAGTTCATGCATTGGAAAAGCAGAACAAAATTGTACAGTCCTGTATATGGTACAAATGTTGACATCAGGAAATTGAAAGTCTTGCTTGCTTTGTGAAAGTTACAGAAATGTTTTTCTATTCCTCTGTACCAATAAGGGGTTTCCTTAAATCTTCAAGACAGCCAAATTTGCATATACCATTTCCGTAAGTGAAATCCAAGGCACTGCAGGAATATTTCAGAGTTGACTTTAATTTGATGTGGCCGAGTACCAGTGTTCTCTCTTCTCAGTAGCAATATGCAACATCCTAAACCCCCTGAAGCTTTGCTCAACGACTTATAATGCATGGCTGGGCAAGGTTCCAGGAGGCTAGGTTATCACAATTCCTTATCTTGTAAACATGGGTTCCCAGGAAATAAGGTCACCACAATTCATGTTAACCTAGTAAAGTCCATTATAAAAACGTCAGCAACATTTCCAAGTAAAGAAAGCACAATAGCTTATACCTGACTCCAGCTGCAAGAACGAAGGGACAATTCAAGCATGCCCTTAAACTTGCCATATTCAAAATTTATTGCAGAGATACTCACCAAATTAGTAATATAGCTGCCACAGGATAATCGGGATTCAACACTTTAGTGATGTGCAGAAGGATGTGCAGTGCAAAACTATCATGCTCCTTATTGACCATAAACTCGTACACACTCAGGAACTGTGCAGTGAGAAGTCCTGGCAGCTGAAAATTGTATCCATTTCCATTACGCAGTACAGATCGCTCTACTTTTACCTGAAAAAATTAAAGCTCAAATAATTTCTTGAATATACTGTGTAGAACTTTTTTTTTTATTTATAGGTGACATTAATAGGCATGAATAACAAGTTGCTAAAGAAACATTAGACTCCTTATAGTCTCGTTTGGATAATCTTATAGAAAATAATAATAATACAGTGATCTTTAAAGTGAATTGGTTGGGGGCCAAGGAATGTGTGGAGTATAAAATGTAAGGTTTTGAGTGTGAATGATTTGATGCGAGGATGATAACTCATCCTGCTATTCTCATGGATAGGAGTATGCACAGTTTAAACAGGTTGATGATATGCACTGGCAAAACCCAAATTTAGTCGTGCCTATGTCAGGTCATATGGTGCAAGGAAACCATGAGAATACATAATCCAGTCCAGAAGGTATCCTGTAGCACAATGGTCAGCACAATGGCCCCGAGTTTGATTCCTAGGCAGGACAAAACGTTTGGATGAGTTTCCCTTTTATCTGATATTCCTGTTCACTTAGGAGTGAATAGATACTGTACTTTGAAGTTAAACAACTGTTGTGGGTCACGTCCTTGAATTTGTTTATCATTGACCAAGGATGCCTTTGATAAACCTAACTAGCAGCCGATCAGAATACGCATGGAAAATATAAAAGTTCTAAATTTGTATTCTAGTACCAAGTCATTGAGCTCAATCAATTTTTTTTCTCCTTTGAAAGCCATGTTGTGCCTCCATTACAAAATGTACTCTTCTAGTGTTCTACACAACTTTTCCTGATGACTTTTTCCAGTATTTTGCATGGGATACACGATGGTGGCACTGATTTACGGTATCTGATTCTGCAACTACATATGCTTTTCTCCAGATTTCAGGAAGTTCTCCTCTCTTATGCTGAAAGCTATAGCTAATGAGTAACACACAATCAGTTAGAATTTAGTTAAAATTACTTCTGCTGTTCTATTGCAATTTCTGCCATTACATTCAACATGTAATTATTGTCATTCTTTTTTTTCTATTGCAGTTCAATTCATGCTTTTGATCTCAATTAGTTTTAAGTTTAGGTTTTTAAGTTTTTCCCCCACATCTTGCCCGAAATGCTGTTCATATTATGGCTTTAGGTATAGTATATACTATACCAGCTCTATCTAAAAATCCAACATTCTGCTTGTAACTCATTTTGTATGGATGTGCTCTAACCTGAATAAACTATTATTAATCCTTGCAGCTTCCTTCAGTAACCACAATGGTACCTGGTCTGGTCCAACTACTTTTGCTACATCCAGTTCCTCCCTGTTTTTTGTTTTTTTTGTACTACTTCTACAGTAATTCTGATTCAGTATAGTTTCTGGTCATCTGTTATCACCTCTCCTTGGACACCAATCTGGTTTTGTTTAATTTGTAGACGTCTTTATACCACTTGTTGAGTTTTTCACACACTTCTTTGACATTCTTTCAGTGTTTCTCCTCATCCATGCAATTTGATAACAGTCTTGTACTGATGTTTTCCTTTGTACATGGCTATGCAGCAGCCAAGATTGGTCATTTACTTTTCTTGCAATGTCGTTTTCAAACTGCTGCTCTCCCTATCCTGATGTACAGTACTTTTTTCTGGCTCTCTTAAATGCTTTTCTATACGCCTCTACCTTATGTCCTTATAATTTTCCATTATTTTTTTTATCTTCTTTGTTACACTGACTGTTGAACCATGGGGGTTGCAGTAGTGGTTGTGGTGCTCTAAAATTTGCCATTAGGAGACTATATGGCCAAAAAAAAAAGATCACTATTTTTTACCATCATATAGCCTTAAAGTTTACCTGCTTGATGGGGTTGTGAGAGTTCTTCTACTCCCCAAGCCTGGCCCGAGGCTAGGCTTTACTTGAGAGCTTGGTCTAACCGGCTGTTGGTTGAAGTGGCCTGCAGGCCCCACATCCATCACAGCCTGGTTGGTCCGGCACGTCTTTGAAGAAAATTATCAATTTTTCTCTTGAAGATGTCCACAGTTGTTCTGGCAATATTTTTTATACTCGCTTGGAGAATGTTGAACAACCATGGACCTATGATGTTTATACTATACAGTGCTCTCCAATTGTGCCTATGGCACACTCTTCACTGTTTACAGCCAATACATAAAGGTTTTCTCCAGATATACTGTAGTATGAACTTTGAAAAGTTTTGAAAACAAGAATAAAATATAAATCTAAGGAAAGCTAAAGGGAATCATTGAAACTTCAAGGATAGTAGTAATCACTAATATCTGGGGAGGGAAAAAAGCTTACCTTAACCTGACGAAGAAAACTGCTTGGCACGTGCAAGTCAATATTGACAACTTCAGAAGTAATCGGGTCCTTAGTAATGTTATATGGTGATTGCTTGTGCTCAAGAGACTGGACCAAATGCACTCCATCAGGAACACTGTTCGGCTCAAAAATGAACGAAAGCGAATGGTTCCATCTATTGATATTCTCCGCGTCAGCCAAAAAACCTTGATACTTGAGAGTCTCGGTAAAGTAAACCAAGGGCTGCTCTTCACGAAACCTGGTTTTGGTCTCTCTTCCCATGACATCTAGAATAAGACTGATAACTGTGTTGCTCATCTGGACACTAGTTGTGTTTCCGTCATAAATATCTGACTGCTTGTCTAGCACAGCTGATGACAAAACAAAATATTGTTCCACAGCCTGAAAATAAATGCACATACAAATTAAAATTATGATATTAGTAACAATCCATGTTTATTAGGATGAATAGAAGGCTGCTACTGTATACACAGTATAATGCATACAAGTCTTAAATATTTTAGACAATTCATATTCCCTAACTTTTAAAAGTAAGAGGGTGAATACTGAACAGAAAATTTTATATAAAGCATTTAAGTTCTACTCAATAAAAATAGATCAGAAAACCATTGTAAAGTTTGAGAAACAAAAACAAAAAACATACCTCTGCTTTCACTTCTGGATTATATGTATACATCATTCTCCTTGCTACTGTGTGCATTGAAATTATGACACGGGAGTATGTCTTGCTAGAGATGAGCTCGTCATTATCCACAAGGTTCTGAAGAGCAGTCAGGACCTGAACAACTTCCATTTCATCCCGAACAGGAAGATCTGCTACAATCTTTGTCAGATGATCACGGGCACAAGACTTCAATAGATTAACCTTAACAAAGAAGTCCTTGTTGTCTTGAAATGAATATTCACTATTGTATGGCGAGGCATTTGCAGGCTGAAGGATATCTTTGCAGCTGGTTTTATAGAATAAAATAGTCAAGATGTTATCAAAGATGGTCTGTGTCATATCGCAGTACTTCATTACGTTTAATTCCCATGCAAGTGTTCGCACTTGTTGCAGCAGAAGAGAAGGGCTCTCATTTTGTATAGTAGGTATTTCTTGGAATAGCGACAATATACCATCTCCTGTATTACATCTTGGGTAAATAATAAGGTTCATTACAGGAGGATATTTATATGAAACACCTTTCCCATCAATGGCCTTAATTGAAACATGAACATTGTAGTCTTTGGACTCTAAGCCTGAAGGAAGTGGAAAATCAATGAATGGTCTTGCACCGTGATAGAAAACAAATTTTGTACCAAACCCCTGAGATAAAACTGTGCCTGTATCAAGAGACAGAAAGCTGTAGCTCCACTGGAGAAGGACTGGATTGTAATGACCATGGACCTCATCACAGGAGCCTCGAAACCATGCCCCGTTTTTGTCAGGTAGAGGTGTTATTCGGCAGTTTTCCTTAAAAGGGGAAAAAATATATTGAAATGCAGTATGATACAGCCTTCTAATACTGTACTAAAATAAATACTGATCACAAATGTCAGTATTTTTTTTATTTAGTCTAAGTATTTTTCCCACCTCTCGCTCGAAACGCTGTGTGTATTAGTGGCGTTAGGCACAATATGTACTAAAGTACAGTAGCGCTATCTAAAAATCCAACTTTCTGTTTGTACTGTAATTCATTTTGAATGTACTGTATGTACTTTTACCAGAATAAACATTATTATTATTATTTGTATTTCTTATACATTTATTAAAATTAATAATTTCAAGAAAAAGATTCCGTAGTACTAAAATTATAATTAACAATATAGTCATTCAACATATTGCTTACAAATAATACTACAGTACTTACCACACTGGGAGGTGGAGAAAATTCAATTAACTGTGTGGCTAATCCAGAATTGTTTGTGATGGAGTTGTAAGTATTTAGGTACAAAAGGTAGCGGGCCTTAGTTTTCAAGTAATCTGTATAGAGCACTAGCACTGGTTCATGGGTACCAGTTGATGTCAGCTCCCAAAAGAAGTGGACATCAATCTGGGCTTTCTCACTCTCGATCACCAATGGACCAATCTTAGAACTGAAAAGAAACCAATATATCACTCAAAACATGTTAAAAGACCTACAGTATCATATATACTGTACCAGTCAAGAACAAATCAATTGGCTAAAGAATACACAACACACAAATTGAGAGCAATAGGCTTTTGTCACCATTAACCACAATAACTTCCTTCTCAAACTCCAACAATATAGGGTCGGAGCTAACGCCATTTGATATTTGCAATCTTACCTCAATGATAAATAAGCACCAGTATGTTTCTGTGAACGATGCCGCTTCTCTCACTATGCCATTTAACACTGGTATTCCACAGGGTTCATGCTATTCCATACTTGGTGTACTACTCTTTCTCACATGCATCAATAGTCTTCAAAATGTCATTCAAAACTTTAAACCAATTCTATTTGCTAATGACAAACTTCATTTTTTCCCATGCTAACCCATTTATTCTAAATGACAGTGAATACTGAACTAAATAAAGTCCATTTGTAGTTGACTGCTGACAAACCCTTAATATCAATAAAACATTTTATATATTGTTTGGTAACAAGTCCAACAAATCAAATTAATGTAAGAATTATGAATACTAAAATTATGAGCAGAGGAGATGGGCAACAGGGCTAACAACACTGCAAACCAGGCATGATAGGGCAGATCTCAATGAAATTTAAAATACTGCACAATTTGGACAATGTTGATATGGAATTTGTTTTTTTTCAAAATGTCAGATAAACACAAATTAGGAGCAATGGTTTCAAACCACAAGCAGTCCATTTGGCTGCATGTGTAATGGTAAGACACATGCCTGCCGTTTTGCGAGCACTTTGGCCTGGGTTCATATCCTGGCCGAGGAGGATTTACTGGGCACCAATCTATAACTGTAGCCTCTGTTTACCCAACAGTAAAATGGGTACCTGGTTGTTAAACGATTTGGCAGGTCGTATTTTGGGGAATGTCAGGATTAAAGACTTGCCCAAAATGCTGTGTGTGCAAGTGGCTGTACAAGAATGTAACAACTCTTGCAATAATAATAAATAAAAATAAATAAAAATAAATAAAAATAAAAATAAATAAAAAAATAAAAAATAAATAAAAATAAATAAAAAATAAATAAAAAAATAAATAAAAATAAATAAATATATATATATATATATATATATATATATATATATATATATATATATATATATATATATATATATATATATATATATATATATATATATATATATATATATATATATATATATATATATATATATATATATATATATATATATATATATATATATATATATATATATATATATATATATATATATATATATATATATATATATATATATATATATGTATATATATATATATATATATATATATATATATATATATATATGTATATATATATATGTATATATATATATATATATATATATGTATATATATATGTATATATATATATATATATATATATATATATATATATATGTATATATATATATATATATGTATATATATATGTATATATATATGTCGTACCTAGTAGCCAGAACTCACTTTTTGGCCTACTATTCAAGGCCCGATTTGCCTTATAAGCCAAGTTTTCCTGAATTAATATATTTTTTCTAATTTTTTTCTTATGAAATGATAAAGCTACCCATTTCATTATGTATGAGGTCAATTTTTTTTTATTGGAGTTAAAATTAACGTAGATATATGACCGAACCTAACCAACCCTACCTAACCTAACCTAACCTATATTTATAGGTAAGGTTAGGTTAGGTAGCCAAAAAAAGCTAGGTTAGGTTAGGTAGGTTAGGTAGACGAAAAAACATTAATTCATGAAAACTTGGCTTATTAGGCAAATCGGGCCTTGAATAGTAGGCTGAGAAGTGCGTTCTGGCTATTAGGTACGACATATATATATATATATATATATATATATATATATATATATATATATATATATATATATATATATATATCAGAAAAAAATATATAATATATATATATATATATATAGGTATATATATATATATATATATATATGTCGTACCTAGTAGCCAGAACGCACTTCTATGCCTACTATGCAAGGCCCGATTTGCCTAATAAGCCAAGTTTTCATGAATTAATTGTTTTTCGACTACCTAATCTAACCTAACTTTTTCGGCTACCTAACCTAACCTATAAAGATAGGTTAGGTTAGGTTAGGTAGGGTTGGTTAGGTTCGGTCATATATCTACGTTAATTTTAACTCCAATACAAAAAAATTGACCTCATACATAATGAAATGGGTAGCTTTATCATCTCATAAGAAAAAAATTAGAGAAAATATATTAATTCAGGAAAACTTGGCTTATTAGGCAAATCGGGCCTTGCATAGCAGGCCGAGTACGACGTTCTGGCTACTAGGTACAACATATATATATATATGTGTGTATGTATGACTGAGAACAAGAGAGTTTTTTACCCACAGGGTTATAAACCCAGGTAAATCTTGCAGTATATATAGAAATACTAGTATTGTTTACAAAATCTACACTTTATATTTTGAAGGGGCAATACAATCATCAGATAATAAATTATAAATCCTTGTCAATAAATAACTTTGCCTTTTATTTCCTGGCAAGTATCCTTTGTGCAAACCTATTTTGGCGACAGTCTTTAATTAGCCTACAAAGTCTGCGGAGATAACAGGGTTATCACAACGCTAATCCTGTCGATTTTCTCGAGAATTATTACCAAAGTTGCGTCCAAGTGTGAAGGCGTTTGTTGGTTTAGAGCTTGGAAGCGCTCTCAACCCTCTGGAAGTTGGTAATACGGTCCAGCGTGTCACTGGGCTCTCGCTATTCACCTCCAGAGGATGACACTAGGCGCTAACTTTGTGCATCTTATAGAGAAAGTTTGCTCTGCGCTTAAAGAAAATGGCCGGGTGAAATGCCAAGCACCGGGGAATGGGGGGCTAGTCTTGCACACCTCCCTGTATCCATTTCCTTACTACCCCCCCCCCCCCCCACCCGGTGGAGGCGGCTATTAAAATATAAAGAGTCATCTCCCTCAAAAGAAACAATGCATGTGAAAAGAAAGCTCAATTATGCCAAGAGTGAAACTTTTAGTAGGCTCTAGCCTCCCCCCATTCCCCATCCTCCCCATCACTCCCTAAGAAATAATTACCACCGCCAACTTTCAACTCTGAAACGAGGAGGCAAGAATAGAACTTGAAACACAGCACTTAGTTGAAAAAGACAAGGATACCCGAGTTATTATGAATTTCTGTTATTTTGTACCGAAACCATTTTGCATCCCGTCCTCCTCAATATTAAAAAAAAATATTACATTTGGACCAAATTAGAATATCTAACTCATTACATTTCAGTGTCTCAATAACTTATATAGCCTCAAAAGTTAAAATAACTCTTAAAGGGGTAAATATGTACAAAGTATAAATTGAACTAGAAGTTCAGATAAAACTAGGGCACGAGGAATGTAATGAATTCCACCTGTTCTTGGCATCAAGTGACGGACCCGTTCACAAGTTTACCTCTTGCCTGAAGACGTCTAAACTTAAACGATGAACACACTAATTACCTTTGATCCTGCCATTACAACTACAATAGCTCAACTGTATATCTTAATTATATTACTTTCAGCTGTAGTGCATTTTATCTGTAAAAAAAAGGGCTTGGGGGGGGGGGTTAAATTTAAAGACGTTAGGCTTCTAAAGATGGCAGAGACCTGAATATGGGTGAGCCTTCTGTTGGCAGTAAGATAATCTTATGATACCAATTTGGCTTATCAGTTGACCAGTCAGCACCCTGTCCTCGGGTAGCGTGGGTCCAGATACACAAGACTGGTAGGCCAAAACTGATTTTTAATTTGTTAACATTTATCAATATAAACCAGTTTGAATGAAATTGAGCCATTGCTATTTTGAATTTTCTTTATAATGAGAAATACAAATAGGTATTCATAAACGCCTATTTGTACCTTTGTTTGCCGTGTAAGTATGTATTGCACAGGATACTGGAAAACGCCTCAGAATGTTTGACTCTTTCACTATCATTATTTTACTTTACGACCTAAGAATTGACTATTACAAACTGTCAAAAATGTCAGTATACTGCCTAATTATATATTCTCCTACTAAAATGTGAACATTATCTAGCCAAACTGCGACCATTCTGCTGGCAAAATATGTCCTTCACGTAGCGCGCAAGACCGGGAGAGAGAAGACTGCCTGTCAGCAACTCGGAATATACAGAGGACACAAAGCCCGGCCCCCTCGGAGAGACGTTCATAACAGAACAATTCCAACAGTCTTTAGAACACGGCAGAACTGTTCATCCGTCCGCCATTGTCACGAGTCCGAGGAACACTGGCGGCTGTGTGTTTTGTCTGAATAATACATCTCTTCCGGACGCGGCTCCACCTAACACAAAGGCACGGGCAAATAAGGATGAGAGTGTAGCCATGAATGGTAGGAGCGCCGTTCTAAAGAGAGACGCCTATTATAGCCAGGGTTAAGCACGTTTTCTTCACGTTAAAACACGTCGTCTACGCGTTCGTCTCCCCCAGCAACCTTGCCATTTGCTTCTTAATGGGTGTCTAGGTTTAAATCATGACTGGTTATCACTATCAATGTTAAATGGGATTCTTGTAATGTTATTTGTCTATTTGTACTCACTGAATTTGTGCGCCCCTTGAGGGACTTGAAGTAGAGGGGGGTAGAAATAGCCTAAGCCACTCTATCCCTTTGAGATGTATTTTTTCTTGTCTCAATAAACATACTTGAACTTGGTTATCACTATTAATTAAACACCGATGAAATAATCTGCAGTAAGTGGGATCATCTTAACATTAAATACATTGTTTACAAATGTCAAAATCTACGCATAATTTATACGTTCCTTGGGCTAATATATTTATAGTATCAACAATCTTTCTTAGGGCGGTCATTTCCAAATCTCTAAAAAGAACAAAAAATGCATATTTTAAAAAATGAATATGCACCTTTGCTTCATTATAATAACCAAAATGCACAAATTTCGAAATCTTAGTAATTAACAAATTAATTACTAAAGCCTTAAGCCCGAGGATTTAACCTAAATCAAACATGTTTTATGATGAGTTAAAATATATAAAAACTTGTAGAAAACATACAAAATACACTTTGGAGAAGTGTATATTTGCTAGATATCACTATATAATGCGATAAATGCTATTTTGTGCTATATTTTCTAAAAAAAATTATAATTTTTTTTAGAGAGAATTTTTTAAAATATGCGTTTTTTGTCCTTTTTAGAGATTTGGAAATGACCACCCTAGGAAAGACGTTGATACTATAAATATATTAGCCCAAGGAACGTATAAATTATGCGTAGATTTTGACATTTGTAAACAATGTTGTATTTAATATTAATTAAGATGATCCCACTTCCCCAAGCAGAAGGACAAATTATACCGTCCTTCTCGAAGTGACGCAGGAGGAAGGAGTGCGCGCGCTCCAGCTCAGCTAGACGTCTGCCCACCCTACAGGCTCATTTCTATTTCCTATCACTACCAGCATCATCCCGCTGTCCCTCACTAAGTCTGGTAAACTGCGACTGAGGAGCGTGGCTGGCGTAGCAAGCATCAACTGAGCGAGGATCAGGCCCTGAGTGAGAGGGGGCGGCCATCAGGCGTCTAAACATTACACCGCCGCCATCATCCTTGACGTCACTTCCGCTGCATTATTCCTAGTCTTTCCAAACTTTTGTAACTATATGTTTTATTCTTTAAGAATTTGTTTTATGGACATGATGAATACGTTTGAGACAATGTTCAGTTGAATGGTTACCAAGAATTTGTATTTATTTGAATTGTTCACTTCGAGGTACTGTGTATCAAGTTCAAGTTCAAGTATGTTTATTGAGATAAGCAATAAATACATCTCAAAGGGATAGAGTAGCTTAGGCTATTTCTACCCCCCTCTACTTCAAGTCCCTCAAGGGGCGCACAAATTCAGTGAGTACAAATAGACATATAACAGTACAAGAATCCCATTTAACATTGCATACAGCATGTATCAATATAGATCATCTTCACTAGGTATACATTAGCATTCCTGCGCTTATATATTTATGTACGATAAGCTATGACTTTTGTGTTTGCGACATAGTGTAGAACTAAGGCAAAGAAGCGGACGGACACAGACAAGAATGAAGACAGGCACAGATGGCAGGAAATGACAAGAGAGACCACCATTCACACTCACTCTGTGGGCAGCCTACTGGTTCCATCACCCAGCGTGCCAATGGTGTGGTTGAGAACCTTGAAGATGTGAGCCCGAGGTGAGGCGCTGGCACACTCCTTCCACCGCTCTGGACGGCAGCTCAGATTGGGCACGTCTTGATGAGTCGCGGCTGTAATACATCCAGAGAAAACTAATTTAGGCAAAATAAAAATGGGACGTTACGTTTGGAAGTTAAAACACACAATTATTCGCCGGTTTACCTTATATCATCTGCATACGACATGTTAAGCATTCAAAAGGGAAAAAAAAGATTTAAAGAAATCTGATTTAAAGCAAAAGATTTGAAGAAATATATGGTAATGATAAGTAATTGCAAGAGAGCTCACGCCAACACATCCGGGGAAGCAGAAACACCGCTTTGTGTTCCAGCAAAATAGCAATTATAATAAAATACGGACAACAAAGATTCCGTAATTTTTACGAATAATGTGTATGCGTGCGTGTGGGAGTGGGAGTGCGTGTGTGAGCGGGAGTAAGAGAGGGTGTTGAGTGCATGCATGCCTGGGAGCGGCCGCTGTACACCTGCGCAGGTAATTAACTAATGACCGGTAGAACAGCCCTCTGGCTCAAGTGACGAGGACACCAGGCGGAAGGTCACGTTAGAGGGTGGGGGGGAGGGTCATGTTAGCTTAGGGGGGAGGGGATACAAGGGTACATAAAGCAAGAGGCAAGTCGTGACTAAAAGGAAACAAGAGGACTGAGATGGTGGGGGGGGGGGGGGAAGTCGGTGGAGTGAATAAATTAGAATGGAACGAGAAAGCCTAGATCTAAAAGCCTAAAATCTAAGAAAAAATAGGAAGATTATGGGGGAACTACCACCTTCCTCTCTCCCCCCCTCCTTCCTCCCAGTAGTAAGGGAGAGATGAGAAGCGTGAGAGAGGGGGAGAGGGAAGGATGCACTTAGGGACTGCATCCTTCCCACTTATCTCTACTCCCTCCGAAGAAAATTAAAAAGGTATGAAAGTGGGAAATTACTAGGAGGAGAAGAGGAAGAGAAACCTATGCCTGTCGCAGCAAAACGTAATAAGAGGTAGACAGGTAAGAAGGAAAGGTGAGAGAAATCATTACCACAATCCAAAGGAGAGGGAATAGAGATCCTTAGATAGACAATGCTGCTATGTCTATCTTGTCAAAATTCCTTAAAATCATATAGGTTATGGAATGTCTTCAACACAGACATAATAACACGGGAACAAATCTACAAGGGCCGTGACGAGGGTTCGAACCTACGTCCGAGAAGATCCCAGACGCTGCCTTAATCGACTGAGCTACGACATGGTAAAAAGAATAACAACACGGGAATAAACCCCACACTTGTGTACTTGTGAAATGTATGTAAAGATTTACACCAAGTGTTTCCGCACTCTCCTGAGTGTCTTATCAAGGTCTGAGTGTGTGATTAAGGCGACTCACATCTGACTAATCTATTAGTCGTTGAGATGCAAGTCTCGTCCAAACCACACAGACACGCGTGCGTGTGTGTGTGTGTGTGTGTGTGTGTGTGTGTGTGTGTGTGTGTGTGTGTGTGTGTGTGTGTGTGTGTGTGTGTGGGTGTGTAGAGCTTAAGGAATCAGACACCTGACACTGTGCCGTAGGATAATACAGGATATTAAACTAAACATTTAAGTGTAGAGATGTTATTCACGACGCCGAGTTCCTACTCGCCGAGTTCCTACTCAATTATTCACCCCCGGTCTTACTCACATAATAACCATATTCACAGCATCTTTACTCGCCTAAGGTATTCAACACTTCTTTATACACCTAATTAACATATTCGCCGCGTCTTAGCTAATGTATATATACCAATTGCATATTCAGGTAATTAAGACGGTTAATAGAGGCGCATCAGTCATCCAATCTACTGGCACCTCGCCGCCTCCCTCTCTCCGTTAGTCCTCCGCCTGTTAACGGCGGTGGCAGATAACGCTGTTAACACCTTTGGTGACATTAGTCTTACTCGTTGACAGCTTCCAGAGCTTTAGTTATTGTTGTTGTTTTAGATTTAGTTACTTAGAACAAAAGTTCCCAAGTAGCACGGGTTATGGTGAGCCCGTAGTGGACTTACCTGGCACAGGAGCGGGGCTGTAACTGAGAGCTTTAGTCCCCGTAGCCTCTTCCTATAGCCAGCCTTCCCTGGTGATCACCTGATCAGTGAGGCTGTTTGTGTTTGTAGCCCGAAGGCCTGCTGGCACAGTTATCACAGCCAGGCTGATCAGGTACCTGCAGCAGAGACTTGTGAGGTTCTCAAGGAACTGTTCCTTCTGTGAGGTTTGCTATAGTTGCTAGCCCGCAACTTATAGACCACTGTGTTTACACTGTGGTCTCTGATTGCACCTACAGCACCCAGATTTTTCATTGGATTTGTCTTGCATTTCCTATCATCTCTCATCTCTCATCTCTCTCTCTCATCTCTCTCTCTCTCTCTCTCTCTCTCTCTCTCTCTCTCTCTCTCTCTCTCTCTCTCTCTCTCTCTGAACGGAGACGAGAGATAGTTTGAGTGCTTTCAGTCGGTGTAGTAGCTCACGTGCATCAATGAATTCTCGTGTGCAGTAAAGGATCACTGAACATTCTCTCCAGGTCTGCCATCTCGCCTACCTTGAAGATAGCGTCTTACCAGATAACATCAGAGACTTGAAGAGTACTATTACTGGGGGGGGGGGATAACATCTCTTGTTCTTAAAGTTCTCATTATCCACCCTATCATTTGCCTGGCCGCTGCAATGTTTGCTTGATTATTCTCTCTAAATGACAGCCAGGTTATCTTAGTTGGATCTTAGCTGGAGGGGGGGGGGGGGAGGTCAGGAATTTATTTTAATCCCCGAGCCCGGCCCGAGGCCAGGTTTGACTTGTGAGAGTTTGGTCCACCAGGCTGTTGCTTGGAGCGGCCCGAGGCCAGGTTTGACTTGTGAGAGTTTGGTCCACCAGGCTGTTGCTTGGAGCGGCCCGCAGGCCCACATACCCACCACAGCCCGGTTAGTCCGGTACTCCTTGCAGGAAAAACTGTCTTGTTTCTTGAAAACGTCCACATTTATTCCAGCAATATTTCTTATACTTGCTGGGAGGGTGTTGAACAGCCGCGGACCTCTGATGTTTATACAGTGTTCTCTGATTGTGCCTATGGCACCCCTGCTTTTCACTGGTTCTATTCTGCATTTCTTGCCATATCGTTCACTCCAGTATGTTGTTATTTTACCGTTCAAATTTGGGACCTGGCCTTCCAGTATTTTCCACGTATATATCATGTGATATCTCTCTCGTCTCCTTTCCAGAGAGAGTATATTTTGAGAGCTTAAGAGCTTTGAGACGGTTCCAATAATGCTTTAACGTGTATGTATGCCGGATGTGTTCTCTGTATTCCCTCTATTGCAGCACTCTCTCCTGCTCTGGAAGGGGAAGTTCGCACCGAGCAGTACTCCAGGAGGAGCAAGACAAGACACCCGTTTAATAAACCTTTGCTCTAGTCGCGCCTTAACGTATAAGATACGACTGCCCCTTGAATTCCGCATTTATTTTCAAGTTTCCAGTTTTTCCCCCATACGAAAGTATTACAAATTTGTGACCGCTGAACGTTATATTAATTGCAGTTTCCCCCATTGAACGACCCTTTACATATCCGTTATTAACTGTCCACCATCTTCACCCCGAGGACATTTTCAAATTTATTTGGTCAGCGAGTGACGGAGACTGAGGCTAGACACTCCGTGAGTGTCTTGGGAGGCTGGCGGCGAGTGACGGCGTGAGGACCAGACACTCACAAGGCCAGCTTCGTACCGGATTTACACTGGGCTTTGTAAACTTTACTACCACTTGGTAATCTGTTAGAAGATGGACTACCGCCCTATTTGACATGTCAATTATTACCATACGAGAGGGAGGGATGGGGAGGATAGGGGGCGAGGGAGGGAGGAGAAGGATAGCGGGCGAGGGAGGGAGGAGGAGGATAGCGGGCGAGGGAGGGAGGGGGAGGATAGCGGGCGAGGGAGGGAGGAGGAGGATAGCGGGCGAGGGAGGGAGGGGGAGGATAGGGGGCGAGGGAGGGAGGAGGAGGATAGCGGGCGAGGGAGGGAGGGGGAGGATAGGGGGCGAGGGAGGGAGGGGAGGATAGCGGGCGAGGGAGGGAGAGGGAGGATAGCGGGCGAGGGAGGGGGAGGGAGAGGGAGGAAGGATAGCGGGCGAGGGAGGGAGAGTGAGGGAGGGAGGATAGGTAGGAGGGAGAGGGGAGGATAGGGAGGAGGGAGAGGGGAGGTAGGATAGGGGGGGGGAGGAGTGGAGGGGGGACCGTAGTGGGGAGGGAGGGAGGGAGGGTGGGGGGCCTGGAGTATGCTTTCGTAACGGCCGCTTGAGGGGGACACACAAGCACACTTTCAAAGGTCACCAATAAAGGTCACGTGATGTAGAGGTCAGAGGTCAACTTGCCTAACAATTCGATCGCGCGCACACCTACACTTTATAGACAATATCGACTATTAACCATCTCAGTTGAAAACATTTGCCCAGAGTTATTGGGTCATATTTTAAAATATAAAAAACTAGGAATGTACAATCAATTCTGCTTTCAGAACTTACGTGTGTGGTACACGCACATAATAGCACATGTGCGCGGAACTGGTGTACATGTGCCTGGGAAGGGAAGGGAAGGGAAGGGAAGGGAAGGGAAGGGAAGGGAAGGGAAGGGAAAGGGAAAGGGAAAGGGAAAGGGAAAGGGAAAGGGTGAGGATTGCTAATTAATTTATTATTTGATTAGTAATTTCCCCGGCGGCATAAGGAGGTCATTACAACTAATAACACACACACTAATGCTCAGGCTGATGTTTACAGCACTGGTTCGACTCCCCCTCCCCCCCCCCCCCACAACTGTTAAACAAAAATATGCAAGGATACAACTCCTAGATTTTATACAACGACGATTCATCCCTAGAGGACGGAACCCACTTAGCCCGCCTTCTATCCTCTGACCAAAAGAGGCTCCGTCGGAGCCCACTATTCCCCCTCCACCCTGGAGAGGTGTGGAGGGGATAGAGCCCTTCCAAGAGGGGAAGGGAGGAAGGGGAGATAAGAGGGGAGAGGAAGAAAGAGGGGGCGAAGAGAATGGTGAATAAAGCGGTCGAGACAAGGAAGGGGAGGAAGAGAGAGAGAGAGCGCAGAACATAATGGC